GTATAAAGAAAGACAGAATAATAAATTAAATGAATTAATGAATTTATTTGCCCAAATATAAAAAACATCAGAAATTTGCTTTTTGAACACTACAAACAAATCTTCAATACTTCATACACTAAACAAAAAAAAGTTTGGAGAAAGTTGGATCTATGATAATAAAAGTAACATCATTTATCTACATCAATGGTAAAATAGTTGAATGTGATGTGCTTTGTACTTCGTATGAAACTTACTTTTATAGATCACCTTAGCTGACCTGGGATAAGCTGCAAAGGTTAAATATTTTAAAAAAAATTGAATGAGCCAATAACTTACTACTGTTTCATTACGAATAGCTGGAAAGCTGTCATCATAAATAACAATCGTTGTTGCTTCTTCAGTCATTGTATTAAAATTACTTAATAACAGATCTACAAAGAAACAAAATACTAAATTAATTTTTTTTTTTTAATGGAATTTTGAGAGTACAATCTTGGAAAGGTACCATACTGTAAAGTTTTTTAATTGCGTGGAGGATATTTTAAAAATCTCCCAAATTTGAGCGGAAAATCGCTAGGAAAATAGGTACGCATAATCGTAATTGCTGCATAATAATTAATTGTATTGGTTAAGGTTTGGTCAAAGCCTAATTTTCGGCAAAATCTGTGTGAAAATCGGGCTTTACTTTCCCAAGTATGCAGACAGATTTCTAGGCCAAATTTTTGAGCGGAGGATAGGCCAAAATATAATAATATATATTCCCCTTACTAAAAAATAACAATAGGCCTAATAACTATAAAAATACAGTCTGGGAAAGGTAAATTTTTTATTAAATAATTAAATAAACACTGCTTTGTGATGGTAAGTAAGTAGGTAATGCATGTGTTAGTGTTCTGCTCCTTCCTATTTCGTTGCACATTTATAATAATACTAGGCCTCTCATCTGGCCTACCCTAGGCTGCCTTCTATCCAGGTAAGGGCCACCATGGTGCCCACTCATTTACTTCGGCTCGTCTTCGCATCATGATGTGTACCCTACCCTAGCCTAGGCCAAGTTTCTGACATCCAAATATATAAGGAATATACTAAATAGCTGAAGCAATTGATATGCAAAAGCAAAATGTACATTACAAACATAACAACTAGGCCTAGGATAGGTCTACCTCGAACAAATTCAGTACCTTCGACAAAATATCTGGTTCCAACTCGTCAACTTTCTGAGGTTAATTTTTCGTGGCGTTCATGTGATGACGCGACCGCGCTAAAGAGCGCATTAAAGCATAACCAATAGGTGGCGCTTTTAAAATTACAGTATAAAAAAAAGTAAATAGGCCTAGTATTATAAACAGTAAACAGGTAAACAGATAAAAGATACTTTATATCTCTAATCCTAAGTCAGGTACAACAATACTACTAGGCCTTTGTCTAATGGCGTAGTCTTAATAATAATAAGCGTAGATATAGATGTACGTATCGGAGACCGGCCACCGAGAGGATTATACTTGCCTTTAGTTAGGGCTAGGCCTAGCAAGATAGATAGATCATATAGGCCTTAGTTTAGGTGGCGACCTCTACTATCTAGTACTAGCCTAGGCCGCTAGGCTACTAGTATTACTAGGGACTTCCTACCTAGGCCTAGTTAGCTATTATATGAGCCTAGAGGCCCTAAGACTAGACCTACTATTTTTTTGTGTAGATTATTATGGGGGTGATGCCCATTTCCAGACGATCGGGCCCACTTCCATTCTGAATGAGTCATGCATTATTTATGGTAGAATGAGCTAAAATGATTTAGCCTACTTATATAGACAATCGGGCCCATGACACGACATGATCAGGACCATTTTCAAGACAATGGGCCCACTCTTAAGTTTGAAATGGCCCAATTCAGTGGTGCTGCAACCGGGGGTGGGGTGCTCCAGCCAAGGTTTTTCCCCCGTTGGGGGCGCAAGGAAGGTGAGACTCGTTTATATCAAATGTTGGCCTGAATTGGATAGGCCTATATAAATTATTACTTGGACCAGGGAGTTGTTATCTCCCTGCTTGGACACTGATGAGATACAAAAACACCATCCTTAGGTCAAGGTGTCCTGTATGAGCACTAGCAGCTTTTTATTTTTAAAAATTTTCTCATTGGGGAGGGGGACACCCCTCCCAAACCCTTCCTCCCACCCTGGGCCTATGGCCCTCGTGAACCCTTGCCCTGCCTGTCGGGGCGTTTCCCTGCCGTTGATGAAATCCTAGCGCCACCACTGGCCCAATTGTCTTTGGACCTGTTTGTCTTTGGGCCCAGGTGGTAGTAGGGCTAGGCTAGGTAGCCCTACTACTAGAGACGAGAGGCCTAGCTTAGATCTTTAGGCAAGTAGTTGAATGGGTATAATGACAGCCCTGGTCAATGGCGGGATATGCCTAAGTTAGGCGTTCGAGTAACAACCTCTTAAAATAGTAGCATAATAAGATTATTAATTATGTAAGGTTGGACTGTGTTAACTTATATTTTTACCACAAAAAAAATGGTATGTACAATGACAATAGACTTCATTACTTTTGCCTCTTTATTGCAAGTCAGGATCAGTGTATTTCACTTTAGTCGGTTTGTGTCCCATTGCAGATGTCTCTGTAGTGTGAATACTGTCCCTGTTTGCCGGACTGTCAGATATCGCAATAGCCAATTCTAAGCATGACTAAGCAATGGAACCCAATTTTTTTTTAAACTCTTTAGGTCTTCAGCATTTTTTGCTTCAACTACTAAAAGAGTTCCAAATTTTTGTTCCTTGATAAGTAAAACTTCTTTTCTTGTAGTCTGTTTTTGGTTTACAGAGATAAAGATTGTCTTTTGATCGAGTATTATGTATTTTTTCTTTGGTATGAAATCCGTTCATAAGATATTGTGGGCTTAAATTATTCATAATTTTGTACATTGTCACAGCTTCATTATAGAACAATTTTGTGTCGTCTGTTCCAATTTAGTTTACGTAGAGCTTCAGTATTAGAGTCATATTTTGAAACATTATTAATAATTTTGGCTGCCCTGTTTTGTAAAGTTTGAAGCTGTTTACTTAAGGTGTAGAATTGCATCTTCCCCAGACAACATTGCAATATTGAAAGTGTGGTGCGGTTATTGTTTCATATAGTAAACATTTAATATTTTTTGGAACTAGTCCACTAAATTTTTTAGATAATATAAGCCAGGTCTCTTATACACATCTAGATGTGTATAAGAGACAGCTCTACTCCATGTTCTCTTATATATATATATATTATGTAATAATAATAACAATAATTGTATTTATATTTATAACACTTTTAATCATTCAAATCCATTTCGGTCTGGCCAGTTTATTTTTCAATGTCGGTTTTTTTTGTTTTTTTTTTGTATCTTTTTACTCTTTAAACATTTAATCGTTGTGATTCATTGATTTTATGTATAAGATTATTACAATTCAGTTTTTCTGTGAAGATGATTTTATTTATAAATACACCATTATAAGTGAACGAATGAATTATTTATACAGTACTCTCAACAAGAGCCAAGCACACAGTTACGTGATGGCTGCTGGAGCTGTCTGTGTGCCCTCAATCATTCCCCTGCGTGCTCCGATTCCTGGAAAAAGTAAATTGAGCATTGACACCAACACTTTGATTGAAATGGGAACTGGTAAGTCAACAATGCATTGCAAGGAATGCTATGTTATTGCCAAAGATCTTGGATCTGTGGTTTTGTATATGTATGCTATGCTGCAACCTATTTAGTTGTAGGCCATTGTTTCATTTTCTATATAATTATTTGAAAAAAAATCAATTGATTTTATATATTTAATTTGTTTTTCTAAGCCTTTGTACGATGGCTATGGACCTCTACCCCTCTCTATCTTTTGCATTTGTCACATTCCCAACACTTGAGCTCCAATTTTTGATGTTACTCTTCACTCTTGTCCTTGGTCTTTTCTCCCTCTCTTCCTTCGGGCATCGGCTAACTCATACCCATGCCAACTTGTACCCATTCCAACTCGTACCCACTTTGGCAAACCCGTACCCAAATTTAGATAAACACGTGCCAGCATTGGCTAACTCGTACCCATTTGTATTTGTACCATTACTTTAGTGCAATAAAATGAAATCGAATGTTAAACACATCTTACTATACTATAGGCCCTACTACAAATTTCTATCAATAAACAATATCTAATTTTTGAAATACTTTAAATTTTGCACCAATTTCACTGAATGTCTGTCTAATGCTCTGTCACTTCTACTGTAATAGCTCCCCCACATTATAGTTTTGACAACTACGATCATGAATTATAAATTTCATTCCTACTGTATCAAAATCTTCTAATTAGTAAGTTTATCTTTAAAAATATAATTTAACATGATTACTATCAAAATAGATAATACTTTTTGCATAACGTTTGAAATAAAAATGTAGATCGTATACTAAACTTGGTAAAGGGCAAGCTATCGTTACGAGTTATGAGTACGAGTTAGCCAATTTTTGGGTAGGAGTCACGTAGGTACAAGTTTTTCATTGGTAGAAGTTAGCCTGTATTCATTCCTTTTGCTCTCTCTATCCAATTACTTCATAAATTATTTGTCAAAAGTACATCTTTTTACTTTCTATTATTTATATTACAGTACAGTATATGTAAATGTTTTCAGCTTGTCTGTGCTAATCTCAAAATGCTATATTTCTTTTCTTTCCATGATACTTTTATTGTACAGCTATGAAGCCGTAATTTTTACTTTAAAGTTGTACTATCAGTCATAAAGTAAACAAAAATGAAAATTTTAATTCCACATTTCAATTGCTTTTTGGACAGTTAAATAATAACTTTCCTATATTATTCTGCTGGTAATCAATTTAAGGATTTTTGTTGTAAAATGTCTGTAAATTGGTGAAAACTACCTTTTTTTCTTTCGATCTGTTTCTCATTGGAAGTTAATAATTGATTTGATTACTGTATTTTTGATATTTTCTGACTTTTTTCTGATAGTACATACATCTTCAATACGAGCCTTTGATATTTTAATCAACAACCTATGTTATTTGCATAATTCAATTTATAATGCTCTGTCCACATTATCAAATTTCATGTCACAGATTTTTGTGATGTGCCCATATATGGGCATGGTGGTGTTGTCATAATATTACACCCAGTACGTGTGCATATCACATTTGTCACATAAAATGTGATAGTGTAAACAGAGTTTTAGGCATATGTGGGATGTGCCCATATATGGGCATGGTGGTGATGTCATAATATTACACCAAATACATAGGCATATCACATTTGTTACATAAAATGTGATAGTGTAAACAGAGTTTTAGGCATATGTGGGATGTGCCCATATATGGGCATGGTGGTGATGTCATAATATTACACCAAATACATTGGCATACAGTATTACATTTGTCACATAAAATATGGTGTGGACAGAGTTTTAGGCATCTGTGAAGGGGCTGTGTATGTAAACTAAATTTATTACATACCTCTAGACACAAAAGATTCTGTGATATACTACACGCTGGATGGAACCAAACCGAACCCATTTCAACAGCTTGGAGAAAAAACAACAATGAAATACAAAGAACCATTCATGCTACCAGAGGGGAGAATAATGGTAAAGTCAATGGCAGTAACAAGGTACACTTAATATTCACTATTTCTTTAAAATTGTATCATCTGCCAAAACTTTATTTTATTTATTTCAAACAATCGTCCAACAGGAAGGCTTTGTTCCCACTTACAGGTGAAAATTGCAAAAATAAATATCTAAAATATAATATCAGAAGGTATAAAATTCAAATTAAAAACATTTTAAAAAATTATTATTAAAGTTATTGTCATTATTATTAAAAATAGATATATGTATACTGTTTACAAATTATACTCAGAATATTTACAAATTACACTCAGAACACACTACACTAACGAGAAGTATGATTATTAAGAAATTTAATTAACACAGAGTGTAAAGCTCATTTAAATTATTTGTAGACATCCCAAACAAGGCCTAAAAGCCATTTTTCATAAGGGTTTACTTTATTATTTGTTATATGCCATGAAATGCTTGCACCTTGGGCTAAAACATAGCATGACCCACTTCACAGCCCATCAATGATGCAAGCTGGGTTACATAAGCATGGCCAGGTGAGAATAGTCAGCAGGTGGTTTGAACTCTTGACGACTACAAAACCAAAATTCACCAAGTAGCCTTCCCAAAATATTTGACCAAATGTAATGTATTTTCAGGGACAAGACAAGAGAGAGTAGTATTGTGTGTAAAGTGTTTGATGTAGAATGGGTGCCCGGAACATCAACAGACAGTGATGGCGATACGGCCAGAAGCACATCCCGGGGAGTATCACCAGGATTAAAAGTAATCACTAAATCTTCTATCAGGCTTTGTTAAATGTAGATAAATTCACTAATTGATTGATTGACTAAGGGTATGTTCACACATACGGTGTAAGATTGGCGTAGCTTATGCCGGCGTAAGCTAATCCACGGATTAAAATTCCAAAGTGGTCACTTAAACGGCGTTTGCTATATTAACGCTGACGTTAAACTAGTAGTAATATAGGCCTATGGGGGAATAGTTTTCAGTTTTAAATAATGTACAGTTTCTTAACTGTAGTAAAAAATTTACAGTGCATCATTAAAACTTTTAAATCTGTGAATTGTTCGAAGTGAACTTATGATTATTATACTTTAAATGAACAAGTTTACTTCTGATTTTTCAACTAGCATTGTGGAACAATTGCTGGTGTTGCAGGCTTTAATAGACAGTCTAAATAGATTAAAGTATCTTACAAAACACAATCAACAAATCATATACATTGTAAACTAAGTAAAATGTGATAGAAAAAGAACTCCTTTACCATTTCACTTATAGAGAGCACAGGAAAGGGATCAAAGTAACTAATCTATTACAATAGTGATTGGTCAATCTCTTGAAATCAGGTCAAATCATTCAAGCATCACTGGCATTTATAGCTCCGTGGCGTTAGCTAATCTGGGGTCTGCAGGTAGCATTAATAATGCCACAGAGGTGGCGTATTAAGTGGCGTATTAAGCAGTGCCACTGCCTAGTTCACACACAAAGGAGTACACTACACAGCTACACTAGGCTTACACCGTGTGTGTGAACATACCCTAAAGTGATTGATGATAAGACCAGGGAGTTTTTAGACATAGTTTCCACTGCCATTGCCTATGGTCAAGTAAGCATACAGTTCACCCTGCAATTCAAGACCTCGCTAATTCTAAATCACTACCTAAAAGGCTTATTTATTGGCCAGTCATTGGCTGATTGATTAATATCTATTCTTTAAGATTCTTGATTTGATTGTTGAGCATTAACGTGAACAAGTTGAAAGATCAATTTGAAGTTATAATTTTTTGTTCTGTTTTAAAGTCAACAGCCACCAGCAAAAGTAATGGTACAAAGGGATCAAATTACAGAAAACCAACGAAAGGTATTGGTGGTTGAGATTTTTCTTCCTTTTCTTTCTTTTGTCATTGTTGAAGCTTTTCTATTTTCAGTTTTTGATGTATTTTAAACTCTCATGTTCATGCTAAGCATAGGTAGATTCAAGGAGTGTGGGGGGGGGGGGGCCAGCTGGCCTTGGGCTACCCCCCTAAATTTGTCAAAATTAAAAAAAAAAAATTTAAAAAAATGCAACTAAAATTTTGAGTCTAGGAGTGCCATTTCCAGCCATCTAGAGGTGCCATAATCATAAATTTTCTTACCTCGGCCCCAACCATGGTTGGGGCTGAGGTAGTATAGGCCCTCCACCTATGAAAGTCCCTCTCCGGGCCACCTCTATTTCAAAATCCTGGATCCGCCACTGCTAAAGCGAGACTTTTTATACCTTGTTTAGCAAGCCGACACCCGCCAATAATGATGATTTCTAATAAAAATTATATTTTATTTTTGGCCAAATAACGCACCTGCTGCCAAGAAAAAAAGAAATTTCTGAACAAAGTTAAAGTTTTTCTTTATTTTTATTATGCTTCTGCCTTGAAATCTCCAAAAATAAGATTATGTGTATTTCTCCTTAATTATATAATTTTAAAGCATTTATCCATCCCATTACTATACTGTTTTACATTCACCTATAAAATTTTATTTTAATTTTCTCCTTCTGAATTTTTTTGCCAAATCTGTTTGCTAAATAAGAAAACAAAATTTTATTTATATTTTTTTTCGCCCTCCTTTGGCTATCTTTAAAAAAAATAAGCTCATGAAAACAAATCTTGCCTAATAATGGCGGTAATGAAAAAATAACTTCACACAATGATCATAAATTATATTGCATTCACATTATATCACTATTTATTGACATCTGTTCTTAGGCACAAGGTTTATGGAGGACAGATTGGGGAGTAAAACCCCAAGCATGACAGGTAGATCACCAATGCCTGGTAGTCGGACTCCAACAGCCACTCAACCAATGACATCACCAAGTTTGAATGCCAATCAACCGATCAACCCGCCTCAAAATATAACACAGACTAATAGGCTTCAAAGAAAAACAGACTTTATGAAGTATGTCAATGTTCTTATTATAATTATCATAATTATTTATCATCATTGAATTTAATTTAATTCAAAATTTATCTTTTTTTTTAGCGAATATTTCGCAAATATCAGACAGCTTAAAATAGCAAATTACGATCAGAAAACAAGGGGTCGCTTTATACACGCAACACATACAAATTTTGGATTTTTTTTCTTGTAACAGTAACACTTAAATGTACTACTGAAATGAAGCTACAACTGTTAGTATAAATGAATGCAATTAATGCAAGGAAATGATATTTTGATGAATATTTAAAATCGCATGAAATTATATTATTTGGAAGATTGGCCCTACATATGGTTCCGTTTTTACCAGCTAGATGCAGTATCAAGACTAGACCATGAAAAAGCAGAAAAAAGTATGAATTCCGATGAAATAGGGGGTCGTCTTATACGCCCAACATACAGAAATCGTCAAAAAAAATTTCTCAAACTTGGGGAGTCTTCACGGTACTTTAACAATTACGGTTTTGATTTCACTATTCTTTCAATTGCAATGCAGTGATGGCTGGACGTATTTCTCAATTTTATATTCTTTGCCATGAGAGCTTAACTTAATTTATTTTTGTATTTTTTTTATTCTTTTGCAAGGTGTGTGTTTTGCAATGCTGACCGACCTGCTGATCCGTACGCAAGATTCTGTATAGCTTGTGGCTCACCTGTTCCCCCACTACCAAATACAAGGCTACCTCCTCCTGAACCTGGTGATGTATGTTGTCTTACTCAATATATTTTATCTGTTAGCATTTTAGACTTTTGTAGGTTGTTTTAAAACTTTTTGTTTCGTTTGTAAGATAACTTATTTGATCCCCTTAAGCGTCTGTCCAGTTTATCACATTTTCTTTTGATGAAAAACTGTATGCCCATATACTGTACTGTATAGTCATGATATAGTTATGATGTATAGTTATGTATAGTATAATGTATTTTATATATATAGTATAGTATATATAGTATAGTAATGTATAGTATATATATAGTATGTATAGTATAATGTATAGTTATGATGTGCCTATATTTGGCGATGACAAGGGGGAAACAGTCGGATGTCGGAAAAAAAAGTTTGGAGTTATTAATATCTTGTAAAAATACGATAGTGAAAAAATCAATCTTATCCGATAAGTACTTACGAAGATATGACTGTTTTAATATCAAAATTATGTCCTGTTTGCAAAACGCGTAAGCGAGTATAAATGATGATAAACATTGCCTTCAATTAAACCTGACGCGCTACCAGCCAAGCCAACTTCGGTGTAACTTACTTTACCACTTAGGAACAGGGATTTTCTTTTAAATTGATGAATTTCAGGGATCTGTACATTAAATTGCAATTATATTTTTTAGATAATTTTATAAATTAATTCATTAAATAGTTTTAAAATAAATGATCAATAAAACACATAATGTTTGCCAACAGAGACATTACTTTTTCTTGCATTACATATTTCAATTTATTTTATATTTTTCAGACTGGAATTTGTGTTTACTGTAATGCAATGGTCCCCCTAAATACCAACCAATGTCTTGTTTGTGAGATGCCCATTACCCCCCAGCTTATTCCTCAAGCAAGTGTCAAATTAAAAGTAAGATTTCTGTACATAGTTAATAATTTCATAAACAATGTTTTACTGGTCTTAAGAAAAGAGATAAACAATTTTCCAAAAACCGTAATTAAAGATGTACTGTCAGTATTAATCTTAGAAATATATTCTTATGCGTTATTCAACAAAAAAACAAAGTACAATACAATGGTGGTATACGCAGAGTATAAATACAACAAATTAATGATTGGACATGGTCACATTGCAAAAATCGTTTGATAAGAAGTCACAGTGCATAGCTCCATGTATTAAAGTCTAGTGTTACAAAAACATACCTTATTTAGTGGTGTCCTCCCCAACTTCTTGTTGGACACCCTGTCATCCGATGCATCGATCGACGAGACCTTCAGACCAATGATATAAATTTGCCTATTTAAATACCGATATTTTTATTGCCAATCCTTTAAAGTTGTCAACTAAAAGCACAATTTTGGAGCATACAGTTCTAAGTCACAAACACTCTCCCTGTGCCACCCTGACCAAGGCTCTGTAATGAGCATTGGATTAGATTTATTCGGTGTGTAAACACTAAGGATAACCCACGAAAGTCTAAAGAAGACTTATTTCCAGTGGAGATCCCCTACTCTTTTCTGAAGAGTGTGCTACATTCTTTAACATGGGCCGTTTTGCACACGGGACCAATGACTCATCCGAAAGATGGTGCCCTTTAGAAAATTGTATTTGAGGCCCTCCAGCTGAAACGCAAGGAGAGCACCGATGGGAATGGAACCAGGGACCAAGAGATCGCCACAGCTTAGCGCACATATGGTGACTACCACCAGTTTTTAGCCGACTGAGCTGGCTGCTCTCACTTTTTAGTTTGGATTCCCCTGTCAGACATGTCAGACCCCTGTCGGAAAATTTCTGCAGCCACTGCTGAGCTTATTTAAAGATTCAAATCGTAATGGAAATGTCTGGTGGGAACACTATTTATATTGTAATGCAATCAATCAATAATTTTTTATTAAACTTCGTCTGATGCAGTAGAGCATTGCCCAACTTCAAACGGACACCGAGACAAATAATTTTTGTTTGATGATGTATGTTTGAAGCAATGTATACAAAGTTGTTGAAATCATTAATATTAAGATTTTATTGACATAACATTTCCATTATGTGTAGCAGGCTAAGAGAAAGCAGAGTGATGTCATCATTGATAAGGTAGAAATCGTCCAATCAGCTTTAGTGTTTGTTGCTGGATTTATTGTGCTTCTAATGTCATTGATTTCATCTGTGATATTGCAATTTGTTGCTGATATTCAATTGTTTAGATATGTTTACTTAATTCAGATTCTTCTGGTACTATTTGGTATTTTCAGAGCTACCTGTACTGTATGTTGATTTTAGTAATTATTCCAAAAGTATAATAATTTATCACATTATTCACTGTTTACAGCATTATTTTCAAAATCACACTATTCACCTACATCACTATTTATTTTTTCATCATTATTATCCTTATCACAAGATTCTACAATTATCTACATAGCCATTATTTTCACCACTAGAATAATATTGATATACCTGTACTGTAGTCATCATCATTTCATAACATATCCATAAATTAAACATCAATTTAGGGTTCTGATATTATTTTTGTCTTTGCTTATAAATTTGGATTACTTGCTTATGTTTTTGTTGCTATCATAGAAGTATTCCAGTTATTTTTGTAATGGTAATTTTCAAAAGTTATTTCTTGTTTTGTAAAAAAGCTTGCTGTTTTATTATGTCATGTACTTAATTTTCAAGATCCTTGTATCTACTCTCCAAGTTCTTTCTAGAAATAATTGTGGAGAATGTGCAGAACTGTTTGTTATAATTAAGCTGTAACTTGTTTGTAATGGTATTGCAATCCTAATTGCAAGGTCTTGGGTTAAAATCTTGGTGGAGTCACCCTAAATTTTTGGGCATGGTGCTCAGCCTTCTTATCTCAGAGATGTCAGATTTTGTTACATGGATATAACATGTGATGTGTGCTAATCTCAGAATCAGATAAGACACATTATGATTTAGTGAGGAACTCTTGCTGTGTTCCTCAGCAAGTGTCTGCATATCACTCTTTCTTGTGTTAATCAAGCTGTACTTTCAACAGATACAGAATGGGTAAGAGGGCTCTTGTATGAGCCCCACTTGCTGCTGCCATTGAGTCTGACATGAGACATGTTATGTAAATATGTCGACAGTCAAAATAAATTATATTATATTATATATGACCATGCTATATATGTTTTCAATATTGTAGGACAAGTTATTGTGCACTGGATGTGGGACTGCCAATCCAGCCAACCTACAGTACTGTGTGACCTGTGAACTCACTTTACAAGGCAATTCCAAGGTAGGAATAATATAAATATAACATTATGGCGGGTTAGCTTAGCAGAAAGGCAACATGTCCGAAACCCAATAATGCTACTATCGAGACAACATGTCCGAAACCCAATAATGCTACTATCGAGACAACATGTCCGAAACCCAATAATGCTACTATCGAGACAACATGTCCGAAACCCAATACTATCGAGACAACATGTCCGAAACCCAATAATGCTACTATCGAGACAACATGTCCGAAACCCAATAATGCTACTATCGAGACAACATGTCCGAAACCCAATAATGCTGCTATCGGTTGTGTCCTTTTGTTAGACATTAACTCGTCCTTCGGATGGACATAAGGCTGATGGTCCCATGTACATATTTACATAACAAAGAACACTGTTTGATGGAGGATTGCCTCCCAGTCAACTGCCCACAGTAGTCACTGCATTGCAGCCACCATGGTGTGCCGACACGATTCCATGGAGAATGCAACACCACAGCGCTCACGCAGTGGATTGTTTTGAATGACGATCTGTTGAGAATGGCACTAAACATCTGTAGACAACGTTGCATCGTTTAGCTCTCATAAAGCAGATTTGGATTTGTTCTATGACCGTCATCTAACACAGTAGAGGCCTAATCTGAATTTCCTGATTGAATTTTCAACAAGGACCATTTATACTCATTCTCAGTTAACATTTAGTTAATTTTTAACATCTTTGATTTGTTGTCACTTTTTCTCAAGATGGTGTAGGTAAATTTATGTGTGTATTTTGTTTTTTATAGCCAGTCTACAGTGGTCTATCAGCGCCCCCAAAACCATCTAAAGGAGGACGACTCCTGTGTTGTAATAAATGTGGCCGAGTGAACAATTCAGATGCGAGGTATTGTGATTGGTGTGGTGCAAAGGTAACAAAATTCTCTCGTGTTCAATCTTTATATTAAGAGATAAATTCGGTAGTACAATAGTAATAGCAAACAGTCAGAGGGCAGAAAAATATTTAAAATAACAAATAAAATGTTGTTTTCTTATTTAGCAAAAAGGTTTTGCACAAAGCCTAGAATTTTATTGATGAATGTAAAACAGTGTTGTAATGGGATTGATATATGCTTTAAATGTATATAATTTAGGAAGAAATATAGATTTCAAGGCAGCAGCATATGTAATAAAAATAAATTAAAAATTTAATTTTTTTTTTCTGAAATTTCCATTTGTTCGTAATGGCAGGTAAGCTAACTGAAAAAAAATATTATTTTATTTTTATATGTAAGTGTCATTATCAACAGGCAGTGGGTTTACAAAAGAAGGTATAACAAAAGTATTGCCTTAGAATTTAAATCAAATTACTCATTCGATCATTACTAAGTACATTTGGATTTCTTGTCATCTTTAGCCATCTCCATCGCTCACATATTTAAGATGCTCTAAATGTAGCGCAAGTAATCAACCATACGCCACATTTTGTCATTCTTGCGGGTGTTTCACTTCACCCCCGGTACGTCATGATATCAGGAATAACGGTATTACAGTTGGTGGAAGATCTACATCTCAGGTTGGTATTCTGCAATTTTTTTTTTTTTTTTTCCAAACCAAAAATTTAAAATGGAAATACAGTACAGTATCTAGTGACTTTACACTTAGGCTGTTGAAATCTTTGATGGTTTCTGAGCTTAAGGCCCTGTTTCTGCTGAGCAAAAAAAAAAATGTGTTTTTAAACAGCTATTAAACACCACATGTTTTTTTCCCCAGCAGAAACGGGCCAAAAAACAAAAACACGGTTAGGAATGCATTCTAAAAATGCGTGTTTTGACACGCATTCCTTATAGGGTTGGTGTTCAGAAAACATGTGTTTTTTGGTACACTTTTCAGCTGCAACGCAATGATGTGTTAGTCGTGACCCATCGGTGGCCTAAATTGACTTCTTCGTTGGTTTGATTATTCGTTCGTGGGAAATTCCGGGCAAAGAAAAAAATAAAACCAACAGGATGACATGCTTTGTCCGTACCATAATTTAGTCATACTTTTGCGGTGTGTTGTTTACTTCTTTCGCAGCATGCACTGTAGCTCTCCGGAAGTAAGGTCAACTTCAACTTTCGTAGGTGATGGTCATTATATGCTCTACCCACCTACCAATGCTCGCTTTACTATGTTTTTATTAGTTGCACTTTTCACTAGAAATGCGTTCTGAAGGAATTTATTCGCTTTTAAAAAGCATGTTTTTCAGCAGAAACATGCCCTAAGAAGCCATAGAAGATTTCAACAGCCTAGCTGTAAAGTCACTAGATATCAAAATAATGCCATATCTTTTTTTACTAAAATCCTAAATATTGATAACTAACATTCCCCCTCCTTCCTTATCCATTGTACTTGTTAAAAGGAGGTAAAAGTTCCCCACCCACCGTTCTTCCTATTGTGCAATTCAGCCGTAAGGCTGCAATTTTGATGTTTTTTTTTTTAATAAAAGGTTTTATTGCTAATTACGTATTAAAAGTGGTTGATGCTCTATAATTTATAAATTTATTTTGAGGCTTAGGGACTGGAGTTGTTTTAGTCATAAGTGAAAAGGGATTCTGCAGGATTTGAACCCAGGATTTTGGTAATGGAAGGCAAGCCTACTATATTAACCACTAAGGCATAGTCCACTTATTTCACAGCATTTACAAACACATGTAAACATTCACTTTTAAATAGGAATAACATCTTGTAATGCAACATAAAGAGTTTTACAAAGGTTTTATATTGGACTCAAAAAAATATATTTTTATAGTATCTTTGTTTGGAATAAGACAGTAAAGTAAATATGCGTATCTGAACTTTGCTTCTATTGAAGAAAAGTGAAATACATTCTGGTAAAATTTCCATCTTTATTATTTACCCTCTTTTAGTTTCAGCTGCACATATGTATCATCTCCATTCTAGTTACTGCATATTAATAGATTAAAGATGGTTGCAGTATTTTTATTTCGTAAAGACCAACAACTGTTAAGTAATAACACTTTATTATAATACCAACAGTATAAACTTTGACCTTTGACATAGTCATGCACACTTAAAACTGTATGAGGGCCTTTGTAATCTGCAGGCCACATTAATTTTCATTATGATTTCTTTCTTGCACTTTTTAGGTCTTGGATGCAAAAGGATCTTCTGCTTGGGTACCGATGTCGATGCCAAAAGACCCAACTCCAACTGATTCCGTAGGAACACAAACTGTTGGCCTCTTTTACCCTTCAAATAAACACCTTAAGAATACCAACCAAAATGAAAGTATGGCAGTCACAGAGAAAAAGCCTCCACTAACTGCTGTTAGCCCTGGAAAAGGTGAATACAATTTATGTATAGTATAATCTATTAATTTGTTATGTGTTAATATAGAACTTTAGAAATATGCGTTAAAATACTATACTGATAATACAATCAAAAATAGTACTATCCTCAAAACTTTTCAATACAATAATTCTTTATTATTTGATTTTTACTGTTTATTATTATTTTAAATTATTTTATAATTTTTTTAGTCTATTTCGTGAATACTTACCTGGATAACCGACTAATTGCCATTGTTCCCAAAACGGAACACCCCTTCGAAAATAATGGAACAGTCCGACCCAAGGCGCCACGTGCGAACCGTCTCCCTAACAAACGTCCTCATTCCCTTTTCGACGTTGTTCGAACTACCAACATCACGATTGATTTGTGTAATTTGTCTGTTTTCTTGTAGGATACTGGAGACAGCAAATTGACCATATTTGCGGACATTTAAAAACACATGCTCAGAACAATACTGAGTTTCGAGGAATGATCAGTGAACCAAAGATCGGAAAGGTAATGCTTAGAATTCATAATATGTGGCAAAGACAAGCCAAACCAGTCACTCGTCGGAAAAATCAATTTTTAGTTATTAATACAGGGTTTAACAGTACAATGAGAGCTATAAAATGGTAAAAAAATCATTTACATCCGACATTTTGTTATGAAGTTACACGAGTTTAAACATTCAGCTGTTTAAAGAACAATATTTGAGAAATCAGCCTTCAAAGTTTACTATTTTAGGCATTTCTTAGGCAGAAACCATCACCAAATCGTTAAAAATTGTTGTTTTAACATTGAAAATGAGGAAAATAACAGCATAGCATGATGTATAGATATATAAAGGTTAGTTTAGTGCAATAAAATAGATTTCCAAAATTTTGACATTCCAGCATGTTTTGGCCATTATCTCCAAAACAGGATTTGCGACGAGTGACTGGTTTGGATTTTCTTTGCCACATATACAAACTGTACTAAGCTAATAAATTTAAATAAATAAAATTTGAAGGAGAGCAGCGATGTGAATTAAACCATGGGACCTAGAGATCTCTACGGTTCAGTGCACACACAGTGGCTACCACCTGATTATCTGACTTATGACTTGTAAATCAATCAACGATCATATTTAGCACGTATGCATTGTTAAGAATGATTTAGGCACGAATGATGATAATGAAGATGACGTATTCATATTCGTTTTCGTAAGTTTGCAGAACTTCTTTAATTAATTTAAAAAATCCTCTTATGTCTTCATTGAATTTCTTAAGTTGCCAATTTTTTCCAGGCAGTTTAGTAAGATTTTCGAATTTGGCAAGCAGATGCAAGAAAAATAATATTGTTTTCTTTAACAGTTTTTTTGAAACATTAAATTCTGAAAGATTTGAAGCATTAATCACCTTTTGGTAATAAGTATCCAAGGTGTAGTCAACAGAAGATAATATGAACTTAATATTTGAAATCCTAAAGCTGACTTAATCTACTCATGGTCTATTAAAGTTACATATGTTGAAAAATGATGAATACCACCCCTAGGGGATATAAATACTGCGCACATTGGGACTAACTAGTAGCCAATGAAATGCCCAGTATGATTAATAAATAAGGCTGATGACTCAGAACTCAGTCAGTTATAACCTGACCCCCAGATGCAACTGCTTGTTGGATTAAACAAGTGTTTTTTGTACATAGATTGACATTTATGCTGTAATTAATCTTGTTTTAATTGCAGTTGATTTCGGCAACAGTTCACGAGGATGGATATGAGCTTAGTGTCAATGTCTGTTATGCTTTAAGAGGAAACAGAGATGCTTTGACCGGTAAACCCCTGGACGTTAGCAAAGGAGGTTTCTTAAGCCAACTGACCGAAGGAAGACGACATAGCTTTAGTGGCAGTACAGGCAGTTTTGGTGAGAAATAAACAAAAATTAACCAAAAATAAAGGCACTCATTTAATCATCTCTAGAGCTGATATTGTAGCTGTTGTTGAGCCATCATTTTAATAATAATGCCTGTTAAAAACATAAACATCCTGAAGTGTTCTTTTATGGTTGACTGGCATGCAGAATATCATCGGAATTAGATTTGAAGTCACCTGAAAGAGTTTTTAGCTTGAGCTAGCAAAAGCTTGTTTTTTAACATTAGTCTGGACAAGGTGCTACTAGTATTATTTGTTTCACCCTTGTTTACAAACATTTCATTGTCCTTTGATAGGTGCTTTAACATTACTGAAACTAAGGTTAGACTCTTTTTATACTTTGTTTAGCAAGCCCACCGCCCACCAATAATGATGATTTAAAATATAAATAAATTGTATTTTTGGCCAATTATCACACCTACCGATACGAAAAAAGGGAAATTTCAGGAAAAAAAGTTTTTCTTTATTTTTATTACGCCTTGAAATCTCCAAAAATAAGATATGTATATTTCTTCCTAATTACAGTATAAATTTATAGCATTTAACCATCCTATTATAGACAAGTAGAAATAGGTTCCCCAGTCAAACAAATTGCAAAAGTTTGTTTTATTGCTGAATTATGTTCTTTTGCTTGTAACAATTAGCATATCCAAAATCTCCCTTGATCGGCCAATACTAAATTACCTAATTTGCAATTCAAAATGGCCGCCATTTGGAAACTTTGCAGCTAATTTTCTCCTTACTACACTATTTACATTCAACAGTAACATTTTATTTTTATTTTCTCCTCTGTTGTTTTTGGCACAACCATTTGCTAAATAAGAAAAAAAATTTGTTTTCCCCAGCCTCTTTCTGACAATCTTTAATACAAGTTCACGAAACAAGGTATAAAGAAACACTTGCCAGAGGGTGCTTATACACTGTAACTACTTTATATTGTCAAGATAAGACTTTATAGATTGATAAATTTGCATTGATTAATGGGTTTTAATGATTTAAAAAATAAAGGTGAATGATCTCAGTGCTCAATATATTTTTTTGTTTAATCAATCACAGAAGAAGAGAAGAAAACTGCCAAGTCAACAACAAAAAAGAAAGTCAAGAAAAATGATAAACTAACAGTAAGTACAGATACAGGATTTATGCTGTTTTTGGAATACTTAAGTCACGTCTTAAAATAGTAAAATTTATATCTTGCTCTAGGCAATACAATGTCAACAAGAGATTAGGGTGTTATTAAGCTGATTGATGTTAGATGTGAATGTTTGCAAGCTGTTGAATGCAGATGGTGGTTTGATGTTCAGATAGTAAAGAAGGAATTTTTAATATTCAGAATTTATATAATTTTTTTAAACCTCATTACTTTAAAATTTAAATTGAAAACATATTTTTGATAGTAGTGATAGTGTAGATTTATTTACATGTTTTTATATATTTTTTATTGCTTTATTAATTGATTTATTATTATTATCATTATTATTGTTGTTATTATTATTAATTAATTTATTTATTTATATTTTTATGGATATTCTTAAATATTATTTTGTTGTGTGTTTTTTTCTGATGTGTTTTATATATTTAATAGAGGCCTTCTTGGTCCTGTTGGAAGAGTTACCCTCTATGAATAGAATAAAGAATAGTGTGTAAATACTCAGAAATATAATTCAGGTTGGAACAATATATTTCAATTAATATGATATATAAATTTCATCTATTAACACTCTAAATAATTATCATATATTGTTTTCATGACAAATAGCATTTGCAGGAAATTTATGGACTGATGTCATAGACATAAAACAAATTAACAATACATTTAATTATCATATTAATATCTTTCAATTATCCAATATTAGATAATTATGAATGTATTTTGCAGTTAATTTTGGAGTTAATGTTTTTTATTCTAGGCCCAAGATAAAGAACTGTTGAAGGAAGTTGGTCCCAAAGGAGAAGGCAGAGATGATGAGGTACAGCGGATTCTTGATGAGGTGAGGCTTAGTTTAGAAGAGTTGTTATGCATAGAAGTTTCTAGTGTTCATAGATTCAAAGCCTTGTCCAAAGCAAAAGTATAGAAATAATAAATAAAATTGCATATAGAAAATGTAAACAAATTTAAAATACTGTTAAAAGAAAGTTTAATGAAAATTAAATCAGTTTCAGTTTCAGTTTATTTTCCAAAAAATTCCATATTTTCATGTACTGAACAATAGAAGGATGACCAACAAAAGAGCAGAGCTCATACACCATTGACCACCTAAACAAAATTAGTAACAATTACGCGGACGAACATGATGTGATACATAACAACAGTGACAAAGACATGTTGGTAGGATATGAACTAAATAAAAGTATGCATGAATGTAAATATATAAAGGATCCTTATTGATATGTTAACAACAAATAATTTTTATACATCATTTTGACAGATACTGAATTATGAATAGAAGCATCAATATTATTCCATAAAATCGGACCATGCCTTCGGATAGTAAATGTTTCTGATTGGTATCAATCATTTTCTTCATGATACTTTAAAGATAAGATAAAGAAATGAATAAATGAATAGACCCTTATAGATATTTATAATGTAATGTAATGTGGTTCGATTTATATAGTGCTTTATACCAAAGTCTCAAAGTGCTTGAGGTGTGGACTAGCTCGCATCGTAACTTTCTTCTCCTCTAAGGATTTCTTTTTGTCACAGCCAGGGGTGGTGCCAGAGGGGGCTGGGGGATGTATCCCCCTGTCTGGGAAGACGAGTATATTTTGTCGGGTAATAAACAAATAAAAAAATTATTTACTTTCATTAAACTATTTTTGTTAACTTTTCATCACAATAATAATAATAATAAATAATAAATAATAATAACAGTAATAATAATAGTAATAATAATAATAGGCCTAATAATAGTTCAATGAGACTAATTAAAAATAATTTGCGTTCTGTTATGACAAAGCGCTTGAGGTGTGGACTAGCTCGCATCGTAACTTTCTTCTCCTCTAAGGATTTCTTTTTGTCACAGCCAGGGGTGGTGCCAGAGGGGGCTGGGGGATGAATCCCCCTGTCTGGGAAGACGAGTATATTTTGTCGGGTAATAAACAAATAAAAAAATTATTTACTTTCATTAAACTATTTTTGTTAACTTTTCATCACAATAATAATAATAATAATAAATAATAAATAATAATAACAGTAATAATAATAGTAATAATAATAATAGGCCTAATAATAGTTCAATGAGACTAATTAAAAATAATTTGCGTTCTGTTATGACAAATGCTTGTTTGGATAGCCTCATGATGCTTTGAATACATCGTGATAGGGGAAGCAACCTCGACCTTAATAGCGTTGACAAATGCAAAATTTCCAAAATGTAGAATTTCACTTTCAAGAATGAGGATTTGAAAATAAATTAGATGGTTACATTGCATACTCTTTGTTTCTTGTTTTATTCAAAATGTTTTGGTTTTGGAAGCTGATTTTGACATTAGAAAACATAGCCTGCATGAAGTCATATTATAGTAGCTCGATGCCTATCAAATAATTAATAAAAATTCGCCAAATATCCGGGGCTTCCAGCGGATTCCCACCGGGGGTCCTAGGCCGCCCCGTGGCCCAGCCAATTGAGACTCAATTCGCTCCACTAGCCCCGCCCCCCCCCCCCACCTGGTAAACTGGTACCAGCTGTCTTTCGTCTGTCCACAATATCATATAAGTATGGTTATATATATTCTTTCTTCATAGGGAGCAGACAGCAACTGCGAAAACAGTGACGGCATACCTGTCCTCTCCGTGGCAACCATCAACAACAGGGTTGAGTGTCTACCAATCCTCCTTTCTGCTGGTGCTGATATCAACAAGAAAGCTGGACCGTAAGTTCCTTCTTTTTCTCCGTAGCATTCCCTTTCAGATTTTTATTTCATTAATTTTCGTATCAATGATGATATTACAGTTTTTTGTGTTATTTGGTTTTACATTTTGGCAAATGAAATAAAACTACCTAAAAGAATGTGTGTTTGGGGTGGTGTGTTTTGTTTTGTCTCATTAAAGTACAAGACAGTCTCAAAGCAGTACAACCATTTATGTGATTCAGAAATATAAGTAAATGTAAAATTTCTGCAGTATAACCTAAAAATATAAAATTGTCAACTGCAAACTAATCATTATTGAAGACTCTTAAATTACTTGAATTCAAAACCAGTATTTTTATTCCTCAAAAAATGTCTCTAATGTTTTATTCCATTCTAGTATCAATCACTCCATGAATCACTCAAGCAAAATTCACTTGTAGCTGTATTATATAGCATGGGGGGGGGGGTGTACTTCGGAGGCCCTCTCCCCACTAACAAAAAAATACAGTATTTGAAAATTACATTATACCACCTCATTCCCCACTCTAAGGTAGCACCTTTCATATTATCCTCCATCAGATCTATCCCCATGTCAAAAGTCCTAATTTTGCCACTGTGTGTGACTGCCATCTATCTGTTGTTAGGTACTACTATTGATTTTCCTTTCTTGTCTGGAATATGGTTGGTATTGGTTTGTCTGGCTGGTAAATATGTAGCATTTACAGTTCAGTCAGCTTTAAATAAGTTAACTTCTGTAGCTGACAATTTGTTCTGCTTTCGTACATAGACGAGGAAATGCAGCTCTCCATGACGCTGTGTTGCTTGGCCCAGAAGGGGAAGAAGTGGTCAAAACCCTGCTGAGTGCGGGAGCTAGTACAAAAGTTAAGAACAATAAAGATGAGACTGCGTATGAATTGGCATCGAGGCAAGGATACGAGAACATCATCACATGTTTCGCTTCGACCGCTGGCCAGGATATGCTCACAAAATTGATGAAACAAAACACAAAGAAACCGGCACCTGAAGTTTTCTAGTAAATTACAGCATGATTCACAATCAAAATAAATAGATCAATAAATTAATCAATAAAAAAATCAATTAGTAAATTAATACATTAGATATTTATTCCATACAATAATTAATTAAAAAATCAATGCAATAAATAGTTCAGAAATTAGTACAATCATCAATCCATTATCAATAAATACATTGGCCGATCAATAAATCAATACATTAATCAATTCATCAACAAATCCATGAATTAAACATCAGCCAATAAATCATTCAAACAAATAATACATTAAATAATCAATACCTCAATACATCAATGAATTAACATATAAATCAATAACTAAGCAATGAATTAATTACTCTGTCAAATAAATAATTATATTTATCAATTAATAAATCAGGTAATATATGTTATTGTCACAGATCCATAATTAATTCCGTCCATATTTTTTATATGTGTAGTTTAAACGGTTTGGCTTAGTGGGAAAGCTTTGTTCGAGGTCTGGGTTTGAATCTTTCGCTGTGCATTTCGCTTGTGCCCATGAGCAAGGCACTTAAATCTAGATTGCTTCAGTCTACCCAGTCTGTATCATTGGGTACCAGTGAATTGGTGGGAGTAACCTGCGGTGGGCTAGCGTCACACCAGGGTGGGGAGAGTATTACACTCTCATCCACTTCACGCTAGAGTAACTGGGAATAGGCTCCAGTTCTATGAGACTAAGTGGCTCGGCAAGGATTTACTTTACTATATGTGGCAAAGACAAGCCAAACCAGTCACTTGTCGCAAATCGTGTTTCAGAGAAAATGGCCAAAACATGCTAAAATGTCAAAATTTTAAAAATCTATTTTATTGCACTAAACTAACCTTTATATATCTATACACCATCCTATGCTGTTATTTTCCCCATTTTCAATGTTAAAAAACCACTTTTTTTAAGGCTTTAAAGATAGTTTCTGCATTAGAAATGCCTGAAATCATAAACTTTAAAGGCTGATTTCTCATATATTGTTCTTTAAACAGCTGTGTGGTTAAACGCTTGTAACTTCTTAAGGAAATGTCCGATTTGAATGATTTTTTTTACCATTTTATAGCTATTATTTTACTCTCTAACACTGTATTAATAACACAAGATCGATTTTTGCGACGAGCGACTGGTTTGGCTTGTCTTTGTATAGACCATAAAAATAAAGCGGTTTGAGCTATATGTTTTGTTTTTTTTATTTTATGCATGCAACCAATAATTTGTTTATATACATGATGTATTTTGCTTAGTCAATGCCCCCCACCCCCACCAACCACCTGCATGGGAGTAGATGTGTAATTCACCTCTTGTGAACTTTTAAATGTGAAAATAAACCAATGGCTTGATTTATATTCTGTTATTTATCAAAATTAAAGAAACATATCAATTTGAAATGATAGCAGCCTGTCTAGTGTCCCACAGGCACATCATCTTCTACAATCCAGAGTTCACCTGCTTGTCCCATGGGTACGTTGACCCAAGTTGACGATAATGATTAATCGAGAAAAGATGCGTTGTCATTCGTGGCACTGCGTAGAATCATGTGTTTGCTAGTCCCATAGTCCTCCAGGACATATTTTAATAGTTCCTAGGAAATGCAGTAAATTATTTGGGATAATTGAGAATAACATTGCGTGTAATGATGTGTTGGCTTAGAAGGTTTTATTTGTTCAGACGGTGGCTAGGATAGTGATACAAATAATTTGATATAGTTATTCATCACTTTGATTGTGAAAATGTTCATGACGAGTAGAGCAGTGCATTGGAATTTTATAATACATAGTTGCGTTGCATAACTTGATAGACTTTTAAAAAAGCGTTGATACCTTGATGTGTAGGAAATTATTAAAATGTGATTTGTGATTTATTGACAAGATGAGACTTTTTTTATACCTTGTTTATTTATTTATTACGCTTCATCACTGCACAAAGAAAACGAATACAATATAAAAATACAACGGACAGCAGCGAAAAGGAAGGGGTGAACAGGTGACAAGCATCTCTGTCTACATCCCCCCTTGAACAAATAACTTCACAATCAAAAATGCAAAAAAACAGGGAAATATGTACATATATATATATATATCTCTTATACACATCTAGATGTGTATAAGAGACAGCCATAAAAATAAAGCGGTTTGAGCTATATGTTTTGTTTTTTTTATTTTATGCATGCAACCAATAATTTGTTTATATACATGATGTATTTTGCTTAGTCAATGCCCCCAATGCTTTAAATTTATATACTGTAATTAGGAAGAAATATACATATCTTATTTTTGGAGATTTCAAGGCAGTGGCGGGCGTAATGAAATAACAGAAAAACTTTGATTTTTTTTTCTGAAATTTCTATTTTTTGTGGTGATGGGTGCATTAATAATTGGGCAAAAATAAAATGTTATTTTTATTTGTAATCATCATTATTGGCAGGCGTAGGTTTCGCTAAACAAGGCATAAAAAAGTCTCTTCTAAGCAATGAAATTGCATTCACATTTCAAAATATAGGTATACTGTATGTATTTTGCATTTTATAAGTGACCAAAAAAATGCATTCTGTAATTTGATTGGCTGAACATTGGTATTTTGTAATTTAATTGGCTAGATATTAGCATTCTGTACAGTGATTGGCATTTGATATTGGTATTCTATACGTTGATTGGCTAAGTATTGGCATTGCACACCTTGATTTCTAAATTTTGGTGTTCCATACCTTGATTAGCTGTTGTCAGTCCATAATTTAATTGGCTAACTGTTGGCGTTCCATACCTTGATTTGCTAAGTATTTTCAATTCATATTTTGATTGGCTAATTAATGGCGTTCCATACCTTGATAGGATAAATTTTGGTGTCCTTTACCTTGATCAGCTAAGTATGTGTTTCATACCTTGATTGGCAGGCCTTTACGCGGGGAGTGGGGGAGGTTCGACGGGTGCATATACATCCCTCCAAATCCCTCCAAATTACCAAAGGTTCACATTTACCAGGGTAGAAAATTCAATCACCCCTCCCCTAAAATTGTCAACATTAATTTTTTTTTTTTAAATATATATATATATATATATATATTCAAATTTAAGTGTGAGTGTGCCATCTCCAGCCATCTAGAGGTGCCATAATCGTAAATTTTCTTACCTCAGCCCCAACCATGGTGCGGCTGAGGTGTTATAGACCCTCAATCTGTGCAAGTCCTTCCCTTTTCCCATGTATTTTAAATTCCAGATTCGCCACTGAGAGTGGCGGATTCAAGGAAGCCCAGTTGTCCCGTTTCCCCCCCCCCCCCCTTCTCAATTTTTCAAGATCAAAATAAAAATTGGGGAAAAAAGAAAAGGATATTCAAATTTTATGACACTGCAAATTCCGGCCATAAGACCTCAAATTAGTAAAAATGACTATCTCTGCCACCTCGATCCCAGTAGGGATTTTTCCCCCTAGGCGCCACCCCTGGAGCCGTTTCGCAGTAATAATCCTGCATATTGAGGCACAGAGCTTTAGTTTATAGAACATTAAATTATTTTACTTGTCGTTGGATAATTTTTTTAATTTTTGTTTTACGTTTCTTTAGGTAACATTTGTCAAACATTGTTTTTAGATGTAAAACGTTACTTGTTGTGAAAAATGTTTTCGATATAAAATTGGTAGATTTTTTTATATAAGATGCAGTACATTTTGAGATTGTGTGTGATATATTTTACTTATTAGTGCAATGTCTTAGGCCTACACTTTTATAAATAGTTGGCTATATTAGTATATTTTCGTTGAATAAAAACAAATTACAGATATTTCATTGCTAATGATATTGTTATCGTTTTAATTTAAACGTCGTTTACCATGAAATTGACCTTTCCATGAGGTTATAAAGGCCTTTACTTGATTTCATTTTTTAATAAACTGTTGATTGACAGTGTTGAGTTTACAGTATACAGTAATAAAATACTGTAAATAATCTTTAATGACTGTAAATTAATAAAACTAGAATTCAGATAACTAAAGTACCTTTCGCCCAATGGCTACGCACTATGATTTGTTTATTTTTAGAGAGGTTATCAACAAAAATTGAATTGCTTTAATAGTGAATTGGCCTAGTACTTCGAATTGTCTTTCTATCTTATAAAACGACAGTATGTTTTTCTTTCCATTTTAAAAATGTTATATAGGTCGCTAATGAAACTATAGAAGTAAATTCATGATTCAAAATATACTTTCAGTTATGAGACGCCATTTCCATAAAGAGATAATGTGGTTTATATTTTTTTTAATACAATATGTTACTCGCAAAATTCAATTCTTCATTCTGCACCATCCCTATGGAACGTGAAGTTCGTCATTCTCCAACCTTGATAAACTGCTCAAAACTCACCCTTTTCAATTATCTATTCGCTAAGTGCGCTGTGAGACCATCTGTGTAAGAGTGCTAATAAATATTGAAATTATTATTTGAGATCCGTCCAGTATAGATCCTGGATATTTAACTTTTTTGTTTCCATGAAACACATTCTGTGGTTCTTTTAATAGCAAAGATTATATAACTGTGTAAGGTCTCATAGAAATCTCATTTAGTATCTTCCGTTTAAGAGCTTTTGACGGCTGTTGGAACTGTTTATACTACCAGATTATCTCCCTAGGTTGTTTTAGAAGGCTATCGGCGTTGCACGTGTCATCGGATTAATATCAACATCACACGACTTATTTTGTCTTTGAGGTATAACTAATCACTGCTTAGTGAAATAGGCAACGTACTTAGGTTTACGTATGGACACCTAGTATCTTCTAATATACACGAATTGGCCCCATAGCCATGTTTTAACTCATCGATAGCCACGCGTTGACGTTAAATGTCCACGCGATGGTGATTTGGGACCTCTTGGAAAGCTACACACTGGAGGCAATCCCTGGAGGAATCGTTTGTTAATCATCTTCGGGAGTAAACGCTCGATATAAATAAATTCATAAAATATATTTATTTATTTTAAATAAACCACATACCGTAGATTGCACACACTGATTATAATGATAATGAAACTAACAATGGATGCAAATTTCTGGGATCTGCTGCCAAACAACTATTCGTCGTGGATATTTTTATTTTACTGTAAACCTACTGTTGGCATGCGTATAGCTTAGCCTCAGTACCAGTAATTTCATGGAAGCTTTGGAGGTAGGCCTGAGATATCATTATTTAAATTTCAATAGTGAAACAGTGCCACCACCTGATCCACCACCAACATTCTAAACTTATAAATAATTGGAATAAGATCTAGTTTATGATATTGTTCTTGAAATATTCATTATTGGCACAAAAGTGAACGAAGACAACATGCAGTACTGACGTTTCTCAATAAATACCAATGTGTTTAATGATTATTTTTCCAGGCAACGTATATATAATATATAAAATAGTACGGTAACAAATTGTGACCTAAAAGGCGTAATAGTATTGAGACCTACATGCATTTCCAAATTTTATACCGTAATTCAATACCGTAACTATAGTAAATGGGTTGAAGTGATCAATGAATTGTGTTTAACTGGAGTTTGAAGTGTCTCACGATATGATGTCATATATAATTTCGGGTCCATTTGTTAAAACCTGCAGAGCACTGTAATTGGGTGCAATACATTATATGTAATCTATACGCGACAATGATGTACTTTTTTGCAAAGCGAAAAAAAAAGGTGTTACAGATCTCTCTAAACTGAACATATTAAGGCACATATCCATGTCTCGGCCACCCAGGAACAACGATTAGTACAACACTGTGAGAGGGCGCTTAGCATGACCTATCGACGGAAAAGTGCTTCCTATGTTTTGAAATGATGTAATCGAGCAGTCACTCACAGTTTGTAATTAACATTTCGAGCACATTCTTTTGGAGGCCTTTGCCTTGATGATAAGTTTGCAAACGCCTTGACAATACGTTTGAAAACACGTCTAACGAATGATGTAATAATACAGAATTGTTAGCATGTTACTAATATTATGTCAGAATTCTTTTAAGAAAATATACTAGGATTAATATACCAACATATAGCTCATTGTGTTAAACATAGTGTTGAAAATGTAAAATAACGTTTACGACACTGTCAATTTATTTTTGCAAAAACATTAAACAATGATTCAGCTTTCTTTTATACTGTATATATTGATGAAAATGATAATTTTCTGCATACAGTAATACATTTTTATTAGCGGTGTAGCGGCTAATATTGTAGCCATTGTTTATATTACTGTATATAAATTTAAGACAAAAACAAGGTTTTTAACAACACACATTATATCAATATTAGTTTGTTTAAAGTACATATGCTAAGATATTTCCAACGATGAGTGCGTGTATCATCCAGTTCAAATGCTGTTTAACATTGCTAAATAATTACAAATTATTGATAATATTATATCAAGACGACATTAGACAAGGTTATAACATGAATAATAAATGTCCTTTGAATATGTTTTCCGAAAGGCAAATACGTAATATAAATGTAAATCTATATTTTCACCCACGTGGTGATAGTTGAAATATAAAATGTACATTTTGGCTTTTTTTCATAATACATAATATTTACAGAACGACTCTGAATACCCTGATTTGTTATAAAAAGCGCCCTCGTTTGACATTGAAGAAAATAATTTCGTTGGCGGCGCGCCTGAGATTTTTTCAAAATCATTATTCAACTTTATTTTCGTACCATGCTGATTCTCTGACCTACTTCAAACTTTCATAATTTCAAAATCAAAAGATGAAACGAGAAAAGGCTGGTCAAGATAATTCCGTCAACACGGTATGAAAACTGCCAATAAAAAAAAATGGAAAAAATGAAGAAAAAAATAGATATAACCCGTTTGGAATACATGACGTACGTAAAACGAAATAATGAACTGTGTGAAATTTGTCGTGTAAAATATCTCACACTGTTGTCAACAATTATCAACTACATTACGAATGTAATGGACACATTAAAATGTACATAACGATAAACATTTTAATGTATCAGGTACAAAGTTTGTGGAATGGACTTCAGTCTTGTTTTGGCACTTTCTCAAATTAATACGATTTGATATTAAAAATCCGTGACTTGTTCAATATACCGAATCATATCGGAATCATTTGGAAATTCTCGACAGCCAGCTTTATTATTTGGAGGTCGAACTTGGTTATATTTTGTCCAATCGCCTTTGCAAATAATCCACGGAAGAATATCAATTTTATAATGCAATTCTTCGGAAATTTTTGCGCTAATTAACTGCGGGGTGCCAGCTCCCGGCCCACGCGTTATCAACTTGAGTTTATCGTTGTAACAACATTGTTGAGATGCTGAACTAGTGGTATGCTCAGAGTGAAGCGAACGAATACAATATTTTGCAGTCGGTTTGAAGATATCTAAGTGGTCTTCTTGTCGACTGGCGTCTTCCCAGTTAAACCACGTTTCACTCGCTTCATCCCATATAGCACCCGTATCGAAGATAGTAGTTGGATATGAACAGGGACAACTCGGCAGACTCTCAAAATATGGCGTCAGTTGATCCTTGCATGCCATCCATTCTTCGCAGTTATCTTTTTCTGGAATAAACGAAAATAAAAACCGGTATCTAACTATGTATGCATTTATTTCATTACAGTGATTATTTAGCTTATTAAAGCGTTACAGAGCAAGGCAAGTTAAATATCTAATAACACTCGAATGATAATGACACTGGTATAAATACGAAGAAATATGTCTGATCATATTAGAAGTATTTTTGTTGCTCTTAAATTCGTCTTTATTTTACTTTCTGTTCGGAAGTTTGGCTGTATTATACATGACTTTACACAGACCAGTACGGTCACAAAGCAAGACCTTAGACTGTTTGAGACACTCAGCAAGAAGGTTGAAAAAGTAGACGCTGACATGAACTTTCTAAAAAATGTATGTCTAAGTTCTTACCTGCAATACTGACAGGAACTGGACTAGTTTGGTAAACCACTGACGATGTTTCTGATATATATAATTTAAAAAAAAAACACTAATCAGAACATCTAAATTCTAAAATATGTGGTAAATGTCATTCATAATCTTGCTATCAATAGGGCTATATGAATATATTAAAATATTTCCACTTGGTTTATGGACTTTATTGGCTGTCCGTTTACTATTTTAATTCAACTTATAACTGCTGTATAAGTCACATACACACTTATTTTGGCTAGTAATCAATTTAAGATTTTGTAAACATTCAGCAAATCAAATGGAATTGCTTTGGTCCGTATCTCATTTGGGATGTATAAATGAAATATGTTACATGTTTCATCACTTATTATTTATAGTTGTCACCGGGTGTCCATCTTTGATTGATACAAATAAATCACTTTAAATCTACGTTAATGGTTTCACTAAACCTCTGTGAATCGCTGATGCTAATAATAATGTTGTTGAATGCTCTGAAGGAGAGTAACCCTAATCCCTAGAGGGCGGTAATAATTAGATTATTTTTACACATCCATTAAGAGAATTGGATTGAACGCGAATCAATTTAATTGCATGTGTATCGATGGCATAATAATAGGATAAGTGTAGTTGACAGAGTGGATTGAATCAAAAACACCACAACTGCTATCTAAACTGAATCGCATTAACAGATTTGATTTGTGACAGTCTGCGCAGTGGCAAAGTGTACACAGGTGCGCCATTTTGGTTTTATACTTCTTTTCACCTGTCTAATCCCAAAAGGCTTTAAATATAAATTGCAATAACCACAAATAACGTGTTTTCACTACTCAAAAATAGCTTAGCTCCAAACGTTCATGGTTAAACATTTGGCTTTAATATTGTCGCTATGCCGTTCAATTTACTACCGTACCTAATTTGGCGTCAGTTTTGCAGGTTTAGTTTTCATGTCTTTAGTAGTTCTGTTGACCCTTATGTTTTCAAATTTCAAGGAAATATTTTAAATAAGTATATTTATAAATAATAATAACAATAGTTTAATCTTGATTGAGTGCATTTTGCTAAAAGGCTCAATGCGCTTTACATTAGAAAATCAAAATCTGGAATTAAGCAAAGTATATACTTTTAAAAGATGTGTTACTGATGCTGTTATTGTATATTTTCATTTTCGCTGATATAAAAAGCATAGAGGCCCTGTGGATTAGTATTGCTATTGTTTTTGATTATGTTGTTTTGAAGAACATGACATTGGTTTCCGGTGGACTGCCCCATCCACCAGGGTCGAGTCCCAACAGGTCCAGTCGATTTCTGAACCAATTGAGTTAATTTCCTACTTTACAGGGCATCACACACATACTGTGCTTTAACGAGTGAGTCAGTCTAGTTTGTGAAGTTTCATTTCATTTTTAATCTTACCAGGACATGGTTGGAAATCACATTCCTGGGTTTCTGATGCAACGCATCTCGTAGAATAGCAAGATCGTGAGCGTTGCCGCAACCCGTGTCCGCACGATACAGAACACGCTGTCCAGTCACCCCACGGGCCTACATTATCTTGCCCTGAAACACAAATAAGACATTCTAATTCAATATTATTTTTAAATATTCGGTATCATTCTCAATAATGGACGAATTTCACGTAAACTGACAACCTTATTGAAGTGTTTTCACAGGTAATTAAAGATTGTTGTTAAATTCACTGTCAACAACTTCTGAGAGCCTGTTATTTGCATAGCCTGAGTGCGATATTTGTCGAGGCATTGTTGCCAGCAACTCACATGGTGAAACGTAAAGCCCCATAGTACATAGAACCTGTATTGGAGCGCACCAGTCCGGCATCAGGTCCCACTTCACACCCACTCTCGATGCCAAATAGAAACATTTCCATAAACATTGAAACAACTCGATCTCATCTAATATTGACAGGAATTCATCAAGCGCCTACTTCAGTAAAACTTTCTTAAGACGAGTAAATATGTACAGATTAAAGGGAGCGTTCTTGGTGATTTTTCTCACTATGGTCACTTCAGAATGAACACTGGTCACTTTATTCGATGGTCGTTAATACTAAAGACAAATTTACCGTTTCATTGATACATATTTATCATGCAGAGAACAGGCTCCAGCTTAAATCGTACAAGAAAAATAATAACGTACCACCACCGATTCTGTTTATATAGTCTTGTGCAATAAAAAAAAATATCGCCACGCTTCTGATTATATCATGACTAGTTTGACCATTCTCTTAAATTACTTTTGATTTTATATCAAGTAAATCTTAATATTGTAAATTTGGTCGTCAAAACTAGGTCATATGTAGGTTATTTACTACTGAAATTTTAAACTGATGACATATTTCTGAAAAGACTCATATTTCATTTTTAATTTATGTATTAATATGCTGAAGTGAATATTTAGGAGAAAATACGCGGTAGTTCGATAGATTACGGTACATTTTTTTTTAAGAACCCAAAATTTTGCCAAGATTAGTGTTCTTATTTTGTTATTACTTTACACAATGTTCAAACATAGAAAATTATTATTGTACAGGAGTATACACTGTACTGGAATGTAGGTAAAAGTTGCCCCGGAAAAATGGCCCCTGAAAAATAGGCCCCAGAAAAATGGCCCCGGTAAAAAAAATGGCCCCAAATGACAGGTACGGTAAGTACCTATTGTAGGCCTACTGTTTTACATATAGTCACCTACACATAAGGTACAAATGTTTGTTTTTTTGTTTTGTTTTTTTTTTCTATTAAAAAAAAAATAAAAGTCTCATTTGACGTTTGATGTTTTACCTCAGCCCCAATCTGTTCTTATGTTGTTCTTAATTTTTAAGCAATTTCTGCCTCAGTGTTCTTATAAAATGTGTTCTTATAAAATAAAAAAAAAAGTGTACTCTGGATCAGGATTTGCGTGCAGCGTGGATAGTTCCAAGAAGATCTGACTTGCATCCATTTGTCGGAAGCAGTCTAAAGTCCCTGGATAGAAACCCGCACAAGCCGATCACCCAAGGGGTTGAAGAAACATCCCGGCCTTTCATGACGGTTTCATAATTACTTAACCATAGTTTAATTATTTGAAAATTAGAGAAAGAGAAAACAGGGTAAATGACTCGTTAATCGGCAATTTCTGTTCAACCGGACTTCCTGGATCCGGTGTGGACGATGGTGCAATATCATGCGCATCATAAAGTACGGTTACACTGTGCGTCTTTCTCTAATTAATATTTGATTTGGCTGTATGAATACGAAATTAAACGCAAATTAGGACTATTCGATTGTTCACATTGCATTGTATCAATTTTGTTTATTGGCGAATGAAATAACTTGACGCCATGTGCGTAACCAAGCTCACACGGTCCAATTTCAAGCTATTTTGCAACCTAGAAACACAAATGATTATAGATAAACACAGCAAAGGTATTAACAACAATAATGGATGGATACCATTTTGTTTGTCGGCGCCGTGATTACTTCATTATTTTACCGCAAAATATTTAGACCTCTGTAATTAAAACCTAACGAATAAAATGTATGGCTCTCAATATACGATCATCAATTGGGTGTGAAATTGTATGATTGAAAATGGCAAAATAACCGGTTATATTAGTCGATAATAACTAGCATTCATCTGTGATGTGGGTCAGTGATCAAAGAAGTCGTGAACCCACGTCACAACCGCAAGGATGGTGGTAGCGGCATGCCGCCGACTACTTTTTCATCAGATCGATGCAAGCCTAAAAGTAGCGCGTGCTATTACGTAATATAATAACTTTCTGTCGATACAGTGTTTATGTTTCAAATAATATTTATATACATTTTCAATAGTTAATAAATTATTGATATAAACAAACCGAAATAATTGTTAATTATCGATATTCGGAGTATTGTATTTGTATTTGACCTACGCCCTTCATAGAAACACGCAGAGTGACGACAAATAACTACAAGCCCACGCAAAATGTCTCGATATTATGCGTATTATGTGTCCGCTATTGATCATAACAATGTTCTAAATAAATTGTTGTTGGGTGGGGGTGGTACTGTACGGTAGTGGATTAGTGCAGGTCGGTAATATATTAGGAACAGCGGTGCATCATAAAACATGATGACAAAATTAACGAACTTTACATGTCAATGCCTGAACGAAGTTCGTTTTACCTTTAATTGTTACTGTTAAGGAAATAGTTTAAATCAATATATAATATACAAATAAGGTTTAGTGGTCTGAATTTCAGAAGCGGTCAATGAACTGTGAATCACCGTTTCATGTCACGTGACAATAGTTGAAAGAGAGGTGAATGCGGTCGTGAGGGCCAAGATCAATCAGCCTCTTACTGGTTATGGTCGTCACGAGTAATCACTGTCAGCTGGTATTCATCTTGACCACAAACGACTGTCCATTCATGCTCTTGTCCACATTAGAAGCAATAATACGGTAATAGTTATGATTAGGTTGACCTCTGCAAGAATCTTAAGAAAGTGTACTGACCCCGAACAGATATACGCTGTGATTGAAATCTTAGTTCACACGCTTTGTTTTCATAAGTAAAACGAAACGATTCGGAAACTCAAAGTGTATGTGATGAGCGCAATGGATAGAGGGTGAGGGAGAGTGCTATCGTGGTGTTACAAACATATATCATCACTTGTCAAATTTCATACTTCACGAAAAACATCCAAAACATTTGTAACATAAGTAGAATCGTTGACATACTACATGGCTTTGTTCTCTTATAGTACAGTAATGTAATACACAAACCACACACACGCTCTGCACATGCATTGCATGTACGTACTTACGTATATGCACGTCACCCGTTTGTACTTTAAGTATGATTTCCATAAAATCGCTACAAGCTATTGACGAATCCTTTAGGCGACACTTAATTGGTCACATCGAAAAGATTCCCCGATTGCGTCGTCGGGGACAGCTAGTACCCCAACGATTTCAGTTACAACGCTGCAGTGACAGTTAGCGATTTTATGGAAACCAGGTTTTATTTCACGCCACGCGTGTACGCATGGTAAAGAATTATCTTATCTTACCAGTGTTTGAGTTGTAAACTTCTGCATCATTGTCCGTCCCACTTATTACTTCAATTGTTATTTCAATATTTGGGTTTGGTGTCGTAAAATTCGGTATATACTTGCTATCAAAATTACCGACCATCTCTGCTAACCTTTTCAACAAAAACTCAGAATTACTCTCGTCAAGAAGAACCGCGCTGGACCGCTTATTTCTTGTTTGCATGTTTTCCTCTCCAATGGCATCAGCGTAATAATCATATGTATAATAATCTTCAGTGTTTATCGTCTGCACATCGTCCATGATACTGTCCCCTGATACTGATTCCCCTAACACACTATAACTTATGTCTCTACTTATCCGATATTGCACTTTTAAATGATTGGATGAATCTGTTTGCCTATCTTCAGAATTCTCATTTATATGAAAGTTTTTATAAAGTTTCATTTCATTTGTATCTTGAGGTTTCAAGAAACTATTTCTTGTTCTGTCATTCTTTGATGTTTTCGGTAAACTGACAATCTATGGAATAGAAAACAAAATCATGTTAAATTATAATCATCAAATTTACTATTAGGCCTAGGCCATGATATGGAGCGTCAGGAACACCATGCGTTTCAGAAGTAATAACTTATTGGTTAAATATTGTTATACGTCACACAGATAGGGTTTTTAAATTATTATACTAATGATGATTTTTCTTACGTCTGCATGGGTGTTTACTTTTCGTAACTCTACTGCAGACAATGCAATTCCTCCACCCCTATCAAGCCTAGTTTTGACTTAGTTTATAAAGCATCATATAATCATTGTTGTAAGACGTTACCAGAGCTGCATTCACTGGTGTTAAGCTGAATGCATTATTGGGGAAAATTCAATTAATAGCCTTATTTGCTTACTTTTTATGTTTAAAGAAGTTTATGAGTTTTTATGAAAATTATAATGATACTACGCCTAATATTCGGATCAAAGCAATGATGTCTTAATGAAGCATTCATATTTTGCTGAAGATTATCTAAGAGCTACTTCCTATACTCATTTTTGATTACTCTTATATATTATTATTCACTATTATATTTATTGACCTAATTTTTAATATTTCACGCGTATATCAAATTAACTTCCCTAAATTATTAAGATAAAAACCCGGCTTTGAAATCATCTTTGTCTAATTCGCTGAATGATTTCCAAGAAAGAGAAAGCGATACGTCTCTGTCAACTCCAATTTCATCTCAACATTCTTGCGAACGTTATATTCCAAAATCTTAATTCATCTTTTGGCCTCGTGACCTACAATTTGATGTAGAGGCCTGTAATCATGTTGTATTATGGAGGAATTTGTATATGGTCTACATATACGTCACGTGGGAGTTGGTGTCGTGTGACTCCACAAAATTTAGAACCAATCACAGCACCGGTATAAGATAATTAACATAAATAATTTTTATTTAATCAAAATATGAAAGTATGTAGGCCTACGATCCCGTGGATATTTATGGCCTAATGACAAGTGTAATTGTCCAACTGGGAATTGGATCCACGATTATGTTTTTATTTAAGTTTTGCAACTTGCAATCCATGTTTCAGAATAGAACATATTATGCAAACAAAAATGATTTAATGTTTCGCACGTACTTTTATCCATACTATAGAGTAGTATGTGCCGAGGGCCATGTGTGAGTTCCGTTGGAACCAAAACGTCCAAGCAGAGATTGCGACCCCCGAGGAGAGGGTAATACGCAGGCAATTAGATACACAGCAGAAGCGATATTTTCTGCTGCGAAAGTTAATAGGAACAATGCCTCTCAAGACAATATGCTTCTTGAAAGCTACGAGCATATTTTGCATAAATGAAAGCAACTTCACAGAGTGCGGGCAACAAATCATGCAGACGATACTTTTGTGATAATCTCGCACACAAAAATTCAACACTCCAATAGGAATATGCAATCGTTTTACAGAAACACCGGTTATTAAAAAAAACAAAAAAACAAAAAAACACGCCGAATTTGCAAAGATATACGACTTTACGATGTAGTTCGGGTCGATGTCGGCTTAAATATAGAACACTTTAAAAATGATATCTATTTCAATACAATTTAAAACACATTAGCTCTTCCAATTGTATTTGAACAAAGTATCAATAGGCCCGTCCGCCTAGCACCTCCCTGATACTGATAGGCCGAATTAATGCCTAGAATTAAGGTTTAAACCCCCAGCAGTACTCTACCAAGGGCCTTGTTTCTGAAGGTTAAAACGGCTCATTTTATATACAGTGCACCCTCTAATTCGCGACCACTCTATTTCCGAGACCCCTCTAATTGGAGACCACTTTTTCAACTTAAAACCAAATAACAATCGTCAGTTGTTTAAAGCCAGGCTCCTGAGGGAAAAAATTATATGTTGTACAGCTGATTTTTCTAAGACACGAAAACATTACGAAAAAATCGGGAGCGGTTAACGAGATACATATTTTTGAGTAGACCTATTTAAAAACTGGGGGGGGGGAGATGGAAAAAAGGAGAGGTTACGCGCGCCTCTCCTCCCCCCAGTTTTTATTTATTCAAATCTGTATTTCATTAACCGCTGCCGAGTTTTTCGTGAAATATGTTTTTTGTGTCTCAGAAAAATAAGGTGTATAACATATCAAACAAATATTTTCCTCCGGAACTAATCCTTCAGGTGGAGAACGAACCCCGACACCACCCCCAAGTTTTCAAGCCATAAATTGGTTTTGAATTGGAGGCCGAACTGTACTTTGTATACTTTCTTATTTTAATAATACGCCTTTTAGTTTAGTTTACCACATGTAATAAAACATCATTAATAGGCTATAGCCTACATACCAGTATATAGGATACACATCATCATGAAACGTACTTTGATTTGCTTTATTCGATACCCAACACAATTATCATCAATAGACACAAAAAAAAAAAATAGATTTAACTGTTTAATAGAAGAATTTTTTATGGAAGTCATATTGATGATATCGGGAACCCACGAAATCCAAACACAAGTCGTCACATTTCCAGAGGGTTCATTTAATTTTATAGTATAAATATAATCTTTTATTATCCTGAATTTTACCATTAGCTGCCCAGGGCCCATTTACTTGTTATCACCGGATGTTGTAGTGACCAATGAATAAAACCATTATAAGTCTGTTGTAAATGAATGATGTATGCGTGTTTCACAATCACAAGCAACCACTATTCATGTTAAATATGCCTTTCTTCATTATTATCATGGTGGTTGGTATTCCATCCTTTCCTGGCATCGAGTGGTTAGTGTTTCAATTGAGTGTTTGACAAGGGTTCCAATGTATGACTTTCGAATTAATAAATACACGTTTTTCACGGTAAAATGCTAAACCGTAGCGATCTTTTATTGAATTCATCGAATTAAGACATGCGTTACAGAATAAACGCGTTCAAGCGTGTGTAACGTGAAAACAGTGGATGTACAGCGGGAGGTTGCATGGCCATCACGCGCCTTTCTCGTCTATTGTCACCAGCGTTAGTGTAGTTCCCAAGTCTTTTGTCCACCACTCTGTGACAGGTGACCTTAATGTGTCAATCAAAATCTTACAGTACATTATAGCCTACCTCACGTAAGTAAAAAATAAATATTTCGCAGTAGTGATTAAATTTAAGGAAAGAACTGTAGGCTCGTGTGTACTCCTAATAATCAACGAAGAATAGGCCTAGTACTGTATAATGATAATAAAATAATAATAAATAATGAAACAATAATTTAATAATAATAATAATAATAATAATAATAATAACAGTTATGTTGATGATGTTGAGTTGATGATAAATTAATAACCATAATAACAATAAATATATTTAAAAATAATAAATTAAAACTAAGTTAATTATGAATTAAATTTATAATAAATTAATACTAATAACCATAGTAATAGGATTAATAACAATAACAATATATATTTAAAAAATAATAAATTAATACTAATAATTATGAATTATTTATAATAACATGAATACTAATATTAATAACCATTATAACTATAGTTGATAACAATAATAATTAGTAATGCTTTTATAAGAATATATAGCATATTAAGACATAATAATAAATTAATATAAGCATTTATATAATATAGAAATTGTTATGCTTATCATATATTATTGAGTCTATTGCTTACGTCATCCTCTATAATCGTGTCGTACAATATAAGGTTCAGTTCTTTCAAGGTAACATAGAACCATTTGCTGCTCCGAACTTCACGCACATATCCAGCTCATGAACGGACTGCTGGGAAGTTCGATAACCCAAGTCCCAAGGAGGCGAGGAATTTACCTTGGAACATTGAAATTCCACTAACATGACCGCGGCACCCTTTGAAGTTGTAAAGGTCAATGAATAAGACAACCTCTATGCTTTATACTCATTATCAACTACCCCTCACCTGTGCAAATGAAATGCAATCCCATGCGTAGGCCAACGATTGTAAGACTATAAATATAATAAAGCATACGATACTTAATAGCTATTCCGCATGATTTACAGTCTGTCTCTTATACACATCTAGATGTGTATAAGAGACAGCTAGTACTGTTTGGTTTTTTTGTTTTTTTAAATAGCTCCTACTACCTGCAACCTTTTTCAGTGTCAACTAAACATAGGTCTACAACAGATCTTGCATAATAGTTTGGATGAACCTTGTAATCGAAACCATTAATATGGTTAAAGATATATACCATAATTAGTATATGAGGTTTTGTTTATTTCTGTATAAATATGTAATTCTTTTTTAATTGTAATACAGTAGCCAATTGTATTTAGTAGCCAAGTAGTTCACCGCATATCGATAAGCTTTGGTTTCAAACATTTGCGGTTCTAAGGTTTCCGGAATGTTATCGAATACCGTGCCCGTCGCGTGTTTGCCTAACCATGAAAGTACATTTCAGTAAAGTAAATACCTTTTAAAAATGAATAATTTCTTTAAAGTAGTGAACTTGACGCCATATCGGCTCCTCCTAAAAACCAGCGTGGTACTGCTGCCATACCAATCCAAACCGTCAAGACATGCTCTTGTCTGGCGCCTACTTTGTACGAGGTATTCCACGGGCGTGAGGATTTGCTTGCGGCAAAGTATTCGATGACAAACTTTTTATTGAAAATTTTACGAATGTCTGAATCGTCCACAAAGAATACTTCACACTTGAATACAAAATCCCGCAGAAACATTTCTTGAGCTTCGCATGTCAACAATAGCGAACCATCATGAGACCCAATAGTTGACACTCTCTTCACACCAGCCAAGATATGACGTTTAATGAAACACGATGATTGACAGCAGGGAAGTTGACAACTGAATGATTGGCATTTATGTAGAAATAATAATATAGTTTATATCGTTTATATAATTCACCCCTCTTTTAGGATTTCATGGTACAGTATAAACAGCAATGCCATCGGACGCGTTTCATTACACAACAGTCGTTGTCAGGTAATTGAACAAAATTAACTACTGCGAGTTAAGACATTTTGGACAACTAGTGGAAAAATATGATAAACTTGTATGTCAATATTAAATTTCCTTCCCCTCCATCCAAAATATAAAAGGAGGGGAAGGGTATAGGATGCCCTCCTCCTGTCCAAATAATATCCTGGACGCAACATGTAGGTTTCTGGGACCAAATAGTATTTAATAATAAGTTAACAATACATTGAACAAATTTCTTAAACCAGCATTATTATGTAAATACTGTATAAGTTAAATGCAATAAAGAATTAAATATAGTTTATACACCTCAGTGTTGATGCAGCCTAGGGGTTATTCACCCTGAAACTAGCTAACGATGTTTGAGTGAGCCGAACAAATTCCATTTAGCTAAAGAAGGTCATTTTTTCAAACCTAATTTCTGTCAATTAAGGGAGTGCTCCACTCACTTACTCCCAATTCCTGACAGTCCAGCGATCCCTATCTCCAGTCGGACTTTCATGCGCAGGCGGCATGTCGTCATTTTAGGGTGGCAGACATTCCGTAACTCGCACTTTTGTAACTCTGCCGTGAACAGTATGTAACCAAATCATTGAAAGTTACAAAATCTCGAGACCTCTCCACCCCCGCCTCCCACCTCCCCACCCCCACCTTTTTTATTTTGAGGGGGATGTTTCTATTCCTCACTCTCCTTTAACTTAATAGGTAATTTGATTCATAAATACTAGATTTTTATCATTTAATTTGTTTATTAGGCCACAGACCGTATATACGAAGGCCTTGTACATTAGGCCTAATTTACCACAGGCCTAATCGAATCACGGTTGTATAAAAATCAGGAATCGAAATAAATTTATGTGTCGCAGTATGATCGCCCCATTTCATCACAAAATAAATATTTTATTAATAAAGGCCTATATAGGTTATAACTTGAATGTGAGAGATACTATAGTAATCTTAAGTAACCTCAGACACTCGTGGTATAATATTACGGTATTTCCAGTAGACTGGATAGTTTGGGTATCAGTCGGTCGAAAGGGCTTTTTAGGAATTCTGACCAATATTTCAGAGTCCAATAGCCTACCAGTATTTATTAACCACAATTTCAGAAGCACGAGTGCATTGTTATGGGTGCGCGTCTATAATAAACCAAGGACTTAATTATAACGGTACAGTACAGTTACAAGTCCTTGAATAAACTTCCACCGTAGATGCGTCGTTTTTTTGTCTGCCTATTAAACTCATAAATGGGTGGGGTTTCAAGGAATGGATAACAAGTTATTACAGTAAGCCCATTTAATCCCCTTCCTTCATATCTTTACACATTTTATTACCCGGCCGGTGTTTGGTCTACGACTGACCGTCAAAAAATGGTCTTTGGCGGCATCTTCTTATCTGGAGGAGGCGTAAATCATCAAGACAGTTGATTTGTTTTAGCACTTAATATCTCATCCGATGACCCGACCGCGGCCTACTGCCGCTCGTGCTTAAAAGTTCCTTTGATTAGAACCAGGGATATTGTTTGTGGTGTATTAAATTGTCTTTTCTCTTTGGCGTGACCATGTTGGTGATTCCACGAATTAATAACTAAACTAAACAAGAAATAGGCCATTCCAATGGGTTGGCAGCGGGCACTTGGTCTAATCGGTCGGTCATCTATCATTGACCTTCATCGATCAAAAGCTTCTAAAATGATAACACTTACAATCAGTACAACAAAAAGGCAACCAGGATGGTGTTGGTGGTGGTATCGTGTTAAAGGCAGGCTCCGGAGGGGGAAAAAATAATAAGTTGTACAACTGATCTTTCTAAGACAGATAAAACGTATTTGACGAAAAACTCGGGAGCGGTTAATGAAATACAGATTTTTGAATATTTAAAAACTGGGGGAAAGGGAAGTAACCACCACCTTTTCATCTTTTCCACATTTACGTCATCTTTTGATGCGGCAAGAAGAATGTGGTCGCTAACGCCCTACACAAAAGCCGAGTGAATAACATTTGAAAATGGCATAAACCGAACGATGCCGTTTATTAATCCTACGCAATGATTTTGTGAGTTTTTATGAGTTCTTTTTTAAACACTAATTCGTACGGTAGTTTTGCATTTTTCTTCCTCGTTTTGTGGTAGGCCTATTCATTTTTATTATCAAAGCATTTATACATCATAAAGTATGTTATTGGTCACCTTTTCTTGAACTGTTAAATATACACAGATAGGCCAACTTCATGTTGACTCACTGGGACAGAAAAAAAAAGGATGCAAACTGAAAATTAAGCTCTTTCAGACTATGCCGCCAATCGCATAATCCACGTTTGTAAGTGTTTTTCTATAGGCATAACTATTCTACAGACAAGAGAAGGGAATGAATAAACAGGTCAATGTAATATATATCATTGATAGAACCAGGTTGACGATATCTGGAAGATGAATTCTGAAGATGGTCCCTAATGATGAGGAGATATCAAGTGAGACAGGCACGAGGTATTTGCCTCACTACACCGGAGGGATACTCCACGTTTTGTAAACATTTTATAGCATGTTTTTAGTCCGCGCATCAATGATGTCAAGTATGTTGGAGAATGGTTGGAGTGACGAACACATCAGTGTGGACATCCATCTATTCGCACGTCACTCTGTCAAGTGTTGGAATGACGAATTCATCAGTGTGGACATCAATTTATCAAATCGTCACGACGATTATTGCTATGTAGCCTATACTATTACTACTACGATACTGTATTTATCATGATGACGTTTACTGAGAGTATACTATCATTAGGGCGCGCTTTTTTTTTCTTTTTTTTTTTTTGGTTAGTGATTTCAATAGTAAAATGATAATAATGATGATGACGATGATGGTATAGCCAATTTCTTTGATCAGATCGATGGATAATTTTTCAAGAATTTCACAGTAAATCGTCATATCCAAGAGCCTTGACCCTTAGCCTTTATAAATTTGCGTTCCCAGTAGATGTTAAAAATAAGTTCGTGTGGTGAAAATATTATAGTAATAATTAGCTAGTTTGCTTCATCTTATTCTCGAAATGTGCATATACAGTAGGTAATATACTTTAATAGTGTTTATACTGTTGTGTCATAAGAAGGTAGATGTATGACTCATAATACCTGGGGTTGGTTAGTTAGGACTATGTAGTGTTCTAGCGGCATGACAATCGCTTTGATAGCGAGAGGTTACAGGTTCGAATCCCACCTGTTTCATGCAACATTTTGTTGAAGAGCCATGCTTGTTACGATTGCATGATCATGTTCCTACTACTGTATATTCAAGCACTGTGTTTGTATTATTTATCTATTCATTTCCTACTCGAGCACTATTATTATTATTATTATTTATCTATTTGTATATATTACACATATATACATATAATATGTATATAAATTATATATATATAACGCCTTTTGTTATTCCCTCCCTGGTCATTCCCACATAAAATAAGAATTGTAGAAAGCAGTTCCACGTTGTAGTATATATCCATAAATTGTAAAAGAATATTGGAGCATGATTGGAGGTTCACTACAGTATGTATATAAACTGCAATACAGAACTATAAACCTACTCGACGGAGGTCGCCAATGTCACTCTTTCAACTTGACATCACCTAGATATGTGCGGTCAAGCTTATCACCATTGTCATCGCTAATTGCACAGTATTAGTTCAGACTAATGAGACAAACATTGCACTAATTAGAGCACTACCCATTAGCCCATTGATGCCAAGAAATCTGAAACAAACGCTTCGTTTATGTTACAATATTGACGTAGGTAAATTCTTTTTGTAGTATAGTTGTATACCAATACTACAATACAGTAGATGACCATACTACTTTAAACTATAGTACGATTTTTATCATCAAAGACATGTGCTGAGCAATTATACATAGATCTACTATCTACTGATGAAGAACATGGAATTTTTTTTTTAATGACCACAAAACTAGAAGACTTACTTCTAAACTATTATTTGTTGCCGGTGAGGAGACAAACATGAGAACGATGAATGTGGTAGCTAGTAGCCAGAGAGTACACGCGGGACTAAGCCCGTCCGAGGCCATCATATTTCCAACTGCTCTTGATGCTTTACTCAGGCCTAACTTTTGTCAGGTATCGTCTTGCTACTGGGATCGATAGGAAGGCTAAAGATGTTTCAGTATTTTCCTTGAGATCCGGTAATACGTCCAGGATAGCCTCCGGCCATCTGCAGCTGATCTAGTTAGTAAAGAGCAAAGAAAAGACATCCACTGAGAAGTGTAGCTTATTGAGTGGCCAAGTCTTCTGTGCAATATTTTACAAGTCAAGACTTCTAAGCCTATAACAATGTTTTCAGCTCCGGGCTAATAATTCCCGACGAATAACGCTGCTATTTGGTTGTAAACAAACGCTTAGAATATACTAACGTAGGCCTGCCTTGTACCATATTTTTTCATTCATAACAAAATCATAACTAAGCCTTTGGAATATTCACAAAATTCAAAATGTTTATATAATGTATCCAAGCCGTCTTCCGTGTAGCAATGATTCTAATGACTGCGACAGTCTTCACCGAAGCACAGAACCAGAACTCATGATTGGAGTTTTTAAATCGTGACTGAAATCAATCCTAGTTTCGTAATAATATATGAATCTTGATGTGGCGAACCAGTGAATAGTTTATCAAGTACCTCTTCAATAATCACTGTTGGTGTGCTGGTGATCGTAGACCCATGCTTTCTATCTCTTGATTGGTTAATAAGTCAGGTGTGCTTATAGTGTGTTTACGATGAATGCAACTATTGTAAGGCTCTACACTTTGCGAGCTCACTACACGCATTGGTCAAATATAATTCGCCTGTTAGCCAATCAACGTCGGGGTAGGTATTAGGCCTTAACCAATGAGATTTCACTGAGGGCGATAGGGAACTGATTGCGGGAACAGAAAAAAATCAGACAGGATCATTCACTTCTTTGGTGATGGTAATTTTAAATAAAGTTAATGATTTAATTCGTAGTTTAATACATAAATTAAAACTGTCGTGATAAGAAAATTTGTCGATAAATACAAAAAAGTTAGGCCTAAGTAAAAGTGATAAACGATTACACTTTTTTCTATTTGAAACGTAAACATCAACGAATCATATAGAAATATAAATAAATTTCTTTGTTGCGTTATATAGAAAGGGTTACTAATACTTTTAGTAAGCGCTCATTTTGCTTTTATATTTAGAAACTTGTTGAGTAAATCAATACTACAAGTTTGATATATTAGCTCGTTGAATGATTGATTGATAGATTGATAGATAGATTGATTGATTGGTTGATAGATAGATAGATAGATAGATAGATAGATAGATAGATAGATAGATTGATTGATTGATTGATTGATTGATTGATTGATGATTTATCTATTATGGTATATTTTTTGAGTAATAATTACATTATATCCACAATATTTATTTCCAGAGGGGATCGGTGTCACACTAATGCATATCCATGCTTAATTAACAGGTTATAATGATAACATTGTAATAAAACAAAATATATTCAAGATATAGACAATATGACTGTGCGGGTCATATACGTTAATAGCACGTGTGTAATGTGTTAATGTGTACATATATGTTTCATGTTAGTTCACTAGCGATGAAACTATTCTTGTTGTTCATTTAACTTTAACCAGTAGCTGACTATTCGCGTAAAGGTACCGCCATCCCGAGGGGACCCATACTTATAGTTCTAGGCCGTTTGTCCATAAACACTAAGCTTCGGGCTAGAGTGGTTACGATTCCCTGCTCGATTGACGTGGTGATGTTGATTGATGTAAAGGGCCTTGGTTACCTGAATGGAGTCTTAAAATGCAGCAATACCGATGGGAATTGGCAAGAGAAAGCTCTGTATAAAGTCAGATTGTTGACTTCGATGTATGTTTACTTTTGTTAAGGACGTGTTAAGTTAGGATCTGTAGTAAAGTGTTTGTGTTGTTAATGGCCGGCTGCTACCGTTTTAGTTTGTCAAGTGGAAACAAAACGAAAACGACAATGACAAATACTTTATTCACTTATTTTTCGACAAATTTCGTTTTACTCTGTTACAAATAGGGCCTACTACAATATTGATATTAAAGACAGTGTGAAGATACGCCCAATTCCAAACAATTTATTACCACATATATCTAGGGTCGAAAAGTTTATATTCTAACATGGTACACCCTTTACCAGATCGTTGTTTACTGTCATTTTTGGGAAGTTTGTATTTTATTTTCAATAGGTCGAGCATCGAGTAAGGATCAACGTAGGAATCAGCGAGATGTTGACATCCCAAATAGTCGGGATTATTCGGGATTACTCGGGATTATTCGGGGGTTGTGTGGATTAGAATTGTTGGTAGACCGTCACGATTTCCCAATTATTAAATAGCAATATCGAATGAACCTTCAGAAGAATGTTAATTCGTGGATACATGTGGATTATAAACAAGGTTAAGAGTAGTGAACCATTGGCCCCCATAACCAAATAGAAGTGTAGTGGATTGATTGGTGGATTTAAGCTTTCTTCTGGCTTATCAAAAATGATAGGTCTAGCCCTATACTTTTTGGTTGCTTTGGTTCCTATGCTGTAAAGCAATGGGAATCTTTGCAATGGTCCATCATGTGCGTCCGTGTGTCTGTGGCGATGATGTCAACAAATTCGTTGAACGTTTGTAAACAAGCAAACTTTAATTTCAAAACACTTGTTGGTTATGATTTTTGCATATAGGCCTTTGTAATATTGGTTATGTAATTCTGCTCTATTACTTGAAAAAAATATTTGGATAACTATTACGCAATACACGAGAACGTCATGATCCCCTCCATCAAAGTCTATCGCTTTAGATCAGAGGACATACAAACGTCCCTAACATTTCTACTTCAATTAAGAATCTAATATATATATATATATATATATACTGTCTCTTATACACATCTAGATGTGTATAAGAGACAGTAGAAATATATATAGGTCAGGATGAGTACTGTTATTATTTATCCATTTGTATATATGTATATCTACAGTAAATCATGCGGAATAGCTATTAGGTATCGTATGCTTTATTTTATTTACTTGACAATCGTTGGACTACGTATGGGAAGAGCTCTATTTAAAGAAAAGTCTTGGATCCGCCAGGGTACAGAAACCTTTATTTACGAGGATAAGCCAATAATTTTGTCACGGAACAAAGCCCTAAAAAGTATTGTTGTAGTTTTAGTTTCCGGGCATCTCAAGTACTATATATTTAATTTGTTTATGGATTTGATGCCCGTCCAATGTACCATCACCGGGACCATCACAAGCACCCGGCACGGTGTAGTATTTTACCAATGGCAACATAGGAACATTGGCTCTCGCAGATGTCTGGTATATACATGTATGTGGCATAGGATTGGATTGGATTTCTTTGGTGTGATATACCGGGATTTCCTTCCAAAGCCTGTACCGGCTTGTAAATAAATTTCCCTCGTAAAATGCCTCGTTTAAGCCCAGAGCGTGGGCGTAGCATTGTAACAAATCCCCATCGTCTCATGAACTTGAAATTGTTTAATACTTTCCAACAGGATGCCAACCCAGATTGTTTGGCCGAGATAAATCTAGATTATTATTGTTTATAAAAAAAATATTAAATTTCGCATTAACATGTGCAACACCAAATTACCAACTTGCTCTTCAACTCATTATGGCATCACTTTTACATGGTAAAGTTCGTTCATTCTCCACTACTGTTAAAAGAAGCTAGGCCTATTACCGTATGACAGTGACTAGTCTGCTGGTGCGCATATTAGATTTGGTAGGTGAGTGCATGCAGAGTGGGTATAGATGGTGTGTGGTTAGCTGTGTTTTTGTGTGCTGTTGGGTGCATATGGATGTACGGGTGTGCGTGTCCGTTTCGTCAGCTGCGGAGCACCCGTTATTAGGGAACCAAGTGAAAAGGCCAAGCATTCTCTACATAACGAGTATAGTAAGCCTATCAGTCAAGTGTCTACACAATAATTGTTTAATGTTAGAATCAATTTATGTTTGAAGTATACCGCTTCTTTAAACACAAGTCGCACCAAAGAGATAAATGGCCATTTTATTATGCTTTTCTCAGTGTAATGTTGATAAATGATATCAAATTGAATACTCATTTTGAAGTTGTATCCCTGACCATAATTCGTGTTAGAACGTGTTGGAATGCGCTTAAAACACCATGGTTGCCAACTTGCTCGTCAACCTATTATTGCACAACTTTTGCATTCATTCGGCACTATTGTTTTGTTTCGTTTGATACTTTTGGGATAATTTCGACCGCATTGGCGGTGCATCGTTTTCATCTGCGTTCTTTTAATCTAGACAACCAGTCCTGGAGTCAACACCTTTGTGATTCCCTTTCCATTGTCAGCATCATTCTACACCATTCATTGCCCTCTAGACAACTACCGGACCCAAGCCGATCTTTTCCCTCCATAGACAAAAAAACGTGTCAGGAATATCCGAGACACATGTCGTCGGAAGCTACGGTATTTGAGGCCCCTAAAAGTACGGTATAGATTTGCCTGCCTAGGCCTAATTGCAATTCGTAATATTCTTATGTAAAAACCATTCTAAATCATGAAGTCTCGCCTCCTCCTTGAATCCCAACAGGGGTTACTTCGGGACCCTGATTGGATGATGCTCTAGAGGCCCCTTGTTTCGAATGCCCGGCTGTCTATTTAATTGTTGATCCCGGTCAGAAAAGCTTCTGAAGTCACCACTGCTCTAGCTACCAGCTACCGACCATTCTCCTAGCCGTTGGCAGTTAATTTTTTTTTTCATCACCGTCGTTGATAAACGAGGTACTGTATTTAGTTTAGACATTAAACATGTTAGTAGTTTCTTTTTTCCGGGTTGTGTCGTGAACTATACAGTATACCAAACAACCTCCTAGTCGGTGTTTGTTAAGACGATGTATAATTATTTAACTGCTCATTTGAGTTATTTTCTGTAGTGAAATATTGAACATTAAGTCATGAGTCATAAGCGTCGGTTATCAGTCAGTGTAAAGTTTTCGTCATTACTGAGAATTATCGAATAATTTAATGAGTGTAACTAGAACAGGACTTCATGTTCATAGACTGCCTCTTAAATCAATGTGAATTTTTTTTTTTAATGTAAAAAAAAATTCTTACTTTATATTCCAGTGAATTCATCAGAAAATAAAAATGAGAAACTGACGTTTAAATAGTGCTATTCTAATATTTATTGCGATAGGCCTTAGGCCTTACCATTAAATTTCTGCCAGATAATTCAACTATTTTTATAGTAAATTCCACAAAGTTATTCAATTCCACTCAAATAAAAAATTGACAAGGATTTTGCTCTCGTTCAGTTAGGTGGGATAAGTCCCAAAGGGACAATGTATCCGTTACATATAGGTTTTTGCGCAACACTTTGGGTCCTTAGCCCGGCCGAAATTTCCATTTTAAATTTCAGTTTTTTTTTAACCGGTATATAATTTCTATAGTGTGATTATACAACGTAGTAATATATGATCCTAATTTTGCCGCGAATTCCTTAGGATGATCCGACTCACGTTTCTACATTTAAAATTGTGATCAGGATTTACATTATTACGTTTGACGAAGATGACGTTAATCCCGACCATGGCAACCGCATATTTGACAGGAGGGCCTAATAAAAGTAGAAAAAAAAAATATGCCTGAGTAGGTCTAACTTTGGCAATGTTTTAAAATGATCTTATTAAAGATATACGGTCTGTAAAGGAATATCGATAACTAAACCCCCCTCCCCCTTTAAAGAAACGAATTGGTCATTTTAAAGTATTAATTAAATTCAACTTTAAATATAATATAAATAAATAAAATTGGGGTTTTTTTTTTTAACTAATTTACGATTTTTCTACCAAAATATATTTGATTTGATTTACCGACCAACAAATGAAAAAGTCTTCAATAGAAAACAGTAACTGTATTACGTCCGTTAATTCACGAGGATTTATTTTCTTCTAATTTTCAATTTAAAGCTATAGCTGTAAGACATTGGTTAAATCCACAAGTACAGTATTGAACTTAATTTTCAAGTTCTTTTTATTATTTTATCATAGACGGTATATCGATGAAAAAAAATTTTGAAATGAAATATGGGAAAGTGTTTCTGAAGGGAATACGCAATAATGTTATTATGCAATACGGTACTTCGGCACAGAGTTTGTACCTGTATGGTCAGTGGATCCCACTGAAGTGCGTTAGTGTGACGCAAATTAATTATTTTTCAGTATCTTAAACACAACAAATACAATTCTATATGCATTAGAAGGATCATAATAATATAAGATTTTTATGGCGTTCTTATCCTTTTCAAAGAAGCCGTCAAATGCGCTTGAGATAAAAGAAAATAGCAGGGGGTATAAAAATATGTTATTCTGAAAAAAAACAACTAAATTCAGTAGGCCTAAACCATAAAAAAATAGAAACTAAGAAAACATGGAATTGGGACTGAGGTTTGTGGGAGCCTTGATCAACGTATAGGTTTGTTTTTAATAGGACTTATTCCTTTAAGACGTATTTTCACCGACTTGTCTGATATAAAATTGATTTTTAACCCATTTCTTGTGGTTTATACGTAAATAAGTAAATAAGTCGTAAACTACAAGTGCCAATTTTTTTATTTATTTACATTTAAGCGTGACATAGGCCCCTAATGTTAAATGTCGTGACCCCAGGTAGTACCAAGTCACTCACCTGGGCTTAGACAATGCTTTGTACCATGATGCTCAAATTAACCGAAATTTAATGAAGGACGAACCAATCCAGGTGCGCTCAAATTGGAAACCATCAAGGAAGCGGCTTCGTTTGATATCATTAAATCGTATTCTTACCTTCGTCAGGGAGGTGCTATACTTTAGCTTCCCTAAGGAGTGCTTCGATGATAAAATGTTCCCGGGAGAAAGAGTTACAGCTGATGCGGGAGAGTCGGTCTCTACTTGCTGTGATGTGGCGGGAAAATAGGTTATCACAAATCAACTTAAAAATAGACTTGGATTCAATAAGGAAGAACAATGGAAATTTCATTGTAGGCCTACGGTACTTTTTTTTAAATTAGGCATTTACGAATACAATGTGCCTGCATTACATATCCCTATACGTATCCAGCGCACCCAGAACACTGCTGCTAGGGTATGCACAGGGGCCCTACTTCATAAACTTCACTGGTTGCCGATCAAGCAACGAATTGTTTTTAAATTGTTAGTTCTCATCTACAAAGCGTTATGTTCTAGTCACCCGTTCTACTTAAGGACCAAAGATGAGCTCCTGGTTCCCTCCTGCCCGTGAGGGATAGCACCTTGAGTTACAGGTATTTATTTTATTTTATTTATTCTTTTATTTACTTCTCACTACTTCCGGATGAGACTCTCATCTGCGGTAGAAGCTCGCGCCGAAGCCTTCATTTTGAAGGCGCTAAACCCAGAAGAAGAAGATATAGAAACCAGCCGGTGTCTGTCTGACAGTGGTGTAGAAAAGGCACTTCCCTCAACCCTGTGCCTGGGTGGAACTTAAACCAGTAGGATACTTGGCAAAGGGCCCCATTTTTTACGTTTTAAGGGCATATTTTGATGTTTTTTACACGTTCTGCTACTAAAAAAACGCCAAAACTACTGAATGTCTTGGGCCTCTTAAGGTCTGGGCCCTGTCGCCACTTCAAGTGTCTGTTTGACTAGAAAAATAGACATATTAAATTTGATTAAGTTTTATTATTTCATCGCAAAGTATATGTTTATGTTAAATTCTAACATATTCCCATTGCGTATACAACGCAATATAACATTATATGAATGCTGTAGGCCTATTCATCCTTTTTAAATAGGCCTATGTGAAACGCCTATTGGCACTTGCAGTTTGTGTTATAAACGTCATTAGACCGTTATTGTTAATATTTCAGTATTTTTTATTTATAATAAATTATGATAATTATAATATTATAACTCGAATAACGGACGAAAGAATGAGAACATTTTCTGGGTCTCATCTTCATAGGTTTTAAACAAAATCGTTAATAAATTTAATCTTTTTTAAGTTCGGTCATGTGTGGTTTACTATAATACGTCAATAATTTACCGAGATGGTAAGAACTTGTTTGGTGCATGAAAAATATCTGCTAAATACTAACATACCGTACAATATTATTGTTTCACTGTTGTATGAGGGGAAGTCAGCGGGAAGTTAACCACATTTTTATGTCTGGATGCACGATGACTAGACCTAACAGGCTTCTCACAGCAAGGTTCCAACTGCCACAACCCCGCCTACAACGGAGGCCAACAAATCGAACTATGTGGCTTGACAAAATATACGAAAATAATTATGGTAATTTTAAATAAAAAGACTTAGGCCTAGTAGAGTATAGGCTACCGGGGGAAACTCCAATGCCGCAGTCGATAAGATTTAATGACAGATTATTGCACTTATTCCACCTGTAACGTATGTTTGTTGTGTTGTGAAAATTATGAGTCTTCGTAATTTAAATATGTCATGTATTTAGAAAACTAAAGTTAAAATACTAGTGGTCACACAGAATAGTGGTCACCAGATTAGAAATTTCAATGAAACAGAACTGAACATATGCGTGGAGGCGCTATATAACTTTGTTTCATTGTCGGGAATCTAAATCGCGTAAAATAATCTTTGATGCCATTTGAAGAAGTGTGGTGGTGTAATACCGTAAAACCTCGAATAGAAGCCCAATGGGGCTTAATCTCGAGAAGAAGCCCATCTCGAATTGAAGCGGCTCCTCTTCTTAGTTTTCAAAAGTAGCTCGAAAAGAAGCCCATCTCGAAAAAGCCCATGCGCTTCTTTTCACGATAGCATGGGAGCTTTTTTCTACCGTAGTTTGGGTGATTTAATGCCGGTTAAAACACTCCATGATACAGTTTGATGTGACAGTGGCCCAATGTATATTGTTTTATAGTAGTAATTCCCAAAATTACTGCATTCATTTTGAAAAGAAGCCCCCTCTTTACATTGCAAATATCCAGAGTTCGAGGTTTTACGGTATTTAGGTAATGCGTATCCATTTTATTATATTAAAATACAGTAGGCCTAGATGTAACAAATAATTTGCTTGCATTTATGTGATGATTACAAATGATTTAATTACTTATCTCCTTTTTTCTTCTTTACAGTCAAATCGTTACCTTAAAAATGCAATGTCATGATTTCTGTTCAAATAGCTATGGTTCAATTCCCATTTATTTAAAGTACAATGCTTCACAGTTTCACTCCCTTTATATAGTAGATTGCATGTTAGCAATCGTTACACTGAAGATGGCGAAGGATTTGCCGAAACATGTCTGTTTTGTACCGAGTTTTATAATAAAATTCATTAGGCCTTGCCTATATGGAATTGCGGTTGAAAATTATTGTGGTTTCAACTTAAGATGTATTTGCTGTCTGTTACTACACATTATCTTTCATTTTAGGGTTTAAATAATTGCATAAAAATGTATTAGCGATCTAGTCTGGTGTAGTAAAGGCTCTGCCACATAATAATATTAGAATATCATACCTCTAATGGGGCCATAGAGAATAAATAGCTTTATGTATGGGGCTCTGTCTGCCCACCTAATAATATTCAAAATTTAAAGCCCGCCCTCGCTGGGATATGTATGTTTAATGATCCGTGACAGTTTGATAAACACACATGTTCGTATGTTATGTTTTTCTGTTATTTTCAAGTGGTTGTAACTATTAAATTTCAAGGAAACCTTCAATTTGATATCATGAATCTATTCTTTTAATCACATCACAAGATTCAGTTAAAAAGGTACGAAATATTTTTGTGTACTAAGGCTAAGAATGTTTTCAAGCTAGGCCTACCCTAGTTAGTTGTAGATTGAGTATATGATAGTCGAGAACGGGTACCGGTGCCCGCTCGATTGAACTAGAGAAGGTGGCGATAGGTATTGGTCAGGCCTAGCAAAATGAGTATCAAACATCTTAGAATTAGTAGAAGCAACTTGCTCTTTGGTTTGTAATTGATGAACACAAAATGTTTTTCGAATTTATTTCCATACAAAAATAATTCAAATTTGAAAGAACTACAGTAAAGTGCAACATGAGCATACACTTTACTTGACTTTGCCAGAGACCTATGCTTCAATGAATATCATAATCTCCATACTTGTACGACTCATGTGCATTTACACAGTACATGTTCATGCTTCATGATGATTGTTTTTTTAGGTCATCCTTGGTCCTGTTCATTTCAATATTTCAAAATAGAAGTAAAAACGAAATGAGATTGCTTGCATTTTAGTTGATGATTACAATTGATTTTAATCATTATTTAATCACTTGTTTATCTCCTTTCTATATTTCCATTTTAGGGTTCAAAATAATTGTAAAATACAACAAAAGACACCTCAGATGTTCTCCTTGAGGCTCGCTCGTCACCTGAATAAAAGTACGGGATTAATATTTGGATCTGGTCTCCGTTGCATCTCTAGCTTTCAAGTTGGCGACACTGCAGAGCTTAGTAAAGTGTTCTCTGCTGAAGATGTTCGGACATTCTCCGAGCTGAGCCTCGATTACAACCCTCTGCATCTAGATGAAGAGTATGCAAAGACGTCCCGGTTTGGAAGATGTGTCGTGCATGGTGTCTTAATGAATGGGTATGATAAGCCTTATGCTCCGTCTACACTATCACATTTTCAGTAACAAATATCTATTCTTTGACCTTATGGGCATGGTGATGTCATAGCACGCCCATTAGTGGGCATAACACAGATGTTTGTTAAAACATGGTTTCACCATAGGCATTATTTATTTAACATGAATTTATGTTTCATGATACCATACACATCCTCTAATACTTTGGATGGACTAGTCTAACTTACTCTAACATGAGTGATTTGTTTTTGTTCTTGTAGTCTGATATCAGGGGTTCTTGGAACCAAGCTTCCTGGTAACGGCAGTATATTTATCTCCCAGTCCATCAACTTCCCAGCACCTTGTAAGTATAGTGGCCAACTGCATATTAGCTTAAACAAATTGTTGTGTTGGTCTAGCCCTGTAAAATTTGGAAATCAGCGTCAGGCAGAATATTTTTCTGTAAACTAATGACCTAATTTTAGGGTTCACTGCCCACCATCATTCTCTTTCCATTCAGTGTGTTTGTTAATATAGTCAAATCCAGGTTAAATTATCAAATTTCTTATTTAAAGCTTGAAAAGTGGCCTTTTGTAACATCATACAAATATTTTAGGTGCCATCTTGTTAAGGAAAAATTAAATTATATGAAATTTGTCCTAAACAAGATGAAACATTAAATTATATTTTTTAAAATAAATAAATAAAAAGCCAACCCTATAATTTCAATGTTTTGGGTTAGTCGGCTTGGGCAACCTAACATTTATTTTGAGCCTTACGATGATGACGACAATTTTTGTGCCAGGGATGACAATGCTGGTAAACTGTTATGAAGAAGGTGTTTTAGTAGCATGCAATGGAGGCAATGATAGTGGTGCTGGAAAGATGATTTAAATTGTTGCTAATTTTTTTTTTTGTACCTTTTCTTCAGTATTTGTTGGTGAGCCAGTGACTGCCAAAGTAGAGATATTAAAGATTGACAGGTCAAGGGTCACATGCTCAACTGTATGCATAGCAACAGAAAGGGACAAGGTAAAAACAATTTTAATTATGTATTTTCTAATTGTCACTACACATTGTTTTTATAAAGTAACTATTGATTTTGTTAATATCGCTAATATATCATTTGTGAAAATGAAATGAAAATTAATATACATGTAAATTATATATTATCATAAACATCATTCCTAATTGTTATCAGTTAATTAATATAGTACAATAGGTGGTTGTAATTTTTAATTTCTAGGTGGTTATGGATGGAACAGTTGAATTATTTGTGCCTAGAAGACCCTCCAACTCTTGAGTGTGTCAGTGATCATTAAGAGCAGAAGGATGCCTGCCCTCTACCTTCATTATAGTTTGGATGCAAAACCTGCTCCCAAGAAACATGTGAAGATTAGAGAGCCAAAGCTGCATATGACATAATTGTAACGCTTGTATTGTAACACAATGTGAACAGTATTTGAGGGACTATCGCTGTGTGATGACATCTAATGCTTTATATGGCAAACTGCAGGTATTTGTCACAGGGGTCACAGGTTGGAAGAGGTCAATTCTGGGAGACTTCAGTGGCGGATCCAGGGAGGGACCTTTACAGATGGAGGGTCTACACCCTAGACAACCTCAGCCCTGTTATGGTTGAGGCTGAGGTAAGAAAATTTATGATCAAGGCACCTCTAGGTGGCCAGAAACGGCAATCACTTTTTTGAAAAATGTAGGGGGCCCGGGCAGGTTGAATCTGCTACTGATCTGTTTAATGTGCTTTCTTAACACATTTAATTTTATTTTGTAATAATATTGATAATGATAAGGACGTAGTGATACCCATCAGTACTGACTTCCGCGAGACAATTGATAATAAAGAAATGATAACATGCCATGCAAATATAAATTAATGGGAGCAGGGTTATTTTCTGGGAGATTCTTGCTTGCTTGCACGAGTGCGGGAGGCCATCGCGGATCCAGTAGGGGAAAACGTTTTTTGCCACTAAATTTTAATATTTTTAAATGCATGTCAATGTTATGTATTGAAATAAGCACTAATCACTTGGAATTAGAACGTAATCTTATTTCAAAAAGTACTGCCGCAAGGGGGCGTGTCCTTAAAATATAAGTTTCGAACTCTATTTGAATTCAAATAGAGTGCCCCCTATCCCTAATATAATCCTGAAGGTGCATTTAATTAAACTTTCAAGTTTTTAGCTGTTAAGATTTCCCTCATGGAATAAAATTGAATCAAAAACATTTTATTATTAAAAAGTTATCAATAGCAACATCCATACAGTAGCTGTTCCTCAGACATATCCAAGACATACAACAAAATATTCAACTTGTAATTTTGTGCAATTTGTATATCATTATTGTCATCAGGCGAGACTTTTTTTATACCTTGTTTCAAGAACTTCTTTTTTTACAGATTGTCAAAATAAATATAAAATTTAGTCTTCTTATTTAGCAAATGGCTTTGCCAAAAACTTCAAGACGGAGGAGAAAACAAAAATACAATTTTATTGTTGAATGTAAACAGTGTAGTAATAGGTTGGTAAAATGCTTTAAGTTTATATAATGAGGAAGAAATATGTGGCAAAGACAAGCCAAACCAGTGACTCGTCGCAGAAATCTATATTTATTTATTACTACAGTGTTAAACAGTAAAATGAGAGCTATAAAATGGTAAAAGAATCATTTAAATCGGACATTTCGTTATGAAGTTACAGGAGTTTAAATATACAGCTGTTTAAAGAACAATATTGGAGAAATCAGCCTTCAAAGTTTATGATTTCTGGCATTTCTCAGGCAGAAATCATCACCAAATCATTAAAAAATTTTTGTTTTAACATTGAAAATGAGAAAAACAACAGCATAGCATGATATATAGATGTATAAAGGTTAAGTGCAATAAAACAGATTTCACAAATTTTGACTTTCCCGCACTTTTCCCGTTTTGGCCATTATCTCTGAAACATGATTTGCGACGAGTGACTGGTTTGGCTTGTCTTTGCCACATATGCATATCTTATTTTTTGAGACTTCAAGGCAGCGCCGGGGGAATAAAAATTCACATCGGTTCCAAACTATCAACCTCCCTACTCATACATACTAATTAGGAATTTTAAGGCAGTGGCGGGCGTAATCTAAAAAAATCTTTTATTTATTTCTGAAATTTCCATTTTTTGTGGATCAGGTTTGCTAATTGTCCAAAAATAAAAATTTTTATTTTCATTTGACATAATTAATATTGGCAGGAGGCGGGTTCCCGAAACATGGTATAAAAAAAAGTTGCGCCTTATGTGTTAACATCATTTTTGTATTATTATTAATGATAACAATAATATATTTTGATTTTAGTATTGTTACTGATATTATTATTACAGTACCATCAATATTTTAGTTATTTTTTAATGAATAATCTTATACACAATTATATACGTAAAGATCATGTAACTCAACATAATTTTGATATAATAGTTTTGGCAAAAGAAGTTAGAGGAGGCAATAATATGTCAGAGGTTAATTAAAATAAAGAAAATTTATATCCATTTGTATCTGTGTAATATTGAAGGATTGACTAAACGATTGACTAAAGAAAAAAGCAACCCCAAAATTGTCACTTGAATTTTTCTGTTTTTACTTGTATGCTTTGATTAAAAAAAAACAAAGACACCTTGAAAATCACCCACCCTGTAGTTACATAACTTCTATGGGCTGTCTGAGATAATTTCAGAAAGTGTATGTGGCAATAGAATCAGGGAATATGGCTTGAACATAATACGCAGACAGTGATTTAGGATGTGTGCTAGCGATATGTCCAAAAAATGAAACCCCAAACCGTTATTTTCATCCCTAGGATTCTGATCGTGGTGTCATGGTAGCCCCATTGTCAGTCTAGTCATGAGTTTCTTGCTCTGCTTGAAAATGCGTTTTCCTTGAGAGGAGCTAATGAGTCTCTCAGAAAAACAAAATCGCTTTATTTTGACCTAGAATTATCGGAGTTGCACCAGTGGCATGGGTGGGTGGTTTATAGACCCTGTCTGGAAGACGTCACTCATGCAGTCGGAAAAGCTCAACAGAATTTGTCGGGACGTCTTACTCTACACGACAAAGCTTTAACGGTGCTTCATATGCCTATTTGCAAAGTCATTAACATACTTCTCGGAATGCAGCCCTTGTACCCCGACTAGAGAGCCTTTCTGGTCCCCGGGCCCCTATGAACTCACCTCAATCGTATTATTAATTTCTCAAACTAATCCACCACCTGTCATCATCATTTTTCCATAATCACATAAGAAAATATAAAACATTTGAAGAAATGCTGAGAATGCAGGAAAGTGCATATCCGAGCATCAAAGGAATGACATTTTTAGGGGGAGGACCCCCCTCCAAATTATATAACACATGTCCATTATACACATCTAGATGTGTCACACACACACACACAAGCCTTTCACAAAAAGCTGGATCCGCCCTTGATAGTGCCTGGTTAGAAACACGCAAGTCCAACGAAGTACGAGGCAAATTTAATTTAAGTATATGGCAGGCAAGGATCCACACCTTCACACCGTTGGCCAATGGCGAAGGTCAGGGTTAGAGATAAAATATCAAAATAGACTGTTGAGTTTTGTATTTTGATTTATATCACAATGTATGGTTAATCAAGAATCATTCACATGGGAGGATAATGTGTGTGTAGATTCTTATAACCTTATTGAAAGGCACATATATATACTAATTCACACTAAAAAACCCATTATTTTAACTATTACTATTATTTTTAATTCATTAGTAATTTATTATTTTAACGAATGTTATGGACTAAACAGGTCTTTATTGGAGTGGGGAGCCTAATTTTGGACCTAGAGCTTAAAACTTACAAACACACTCAAAAGCTGAAATTTGATACATCTAGTAAAAAAGTCAAAAATGACAACCATGCACTGAGAAACTGCAAATGAATACGGCATCGCATTAGTGTATGTGGTTTATTTTACTTGCTTTTAATTTATTTGTATTTTTTTTTTATGTTCTTACTATTCATTTGTTATAATTGTATATAAACAAACTTATAATTACAAAAAAAAAAATCCCATTTAATTTTTTTAATAGAAAAATTTAACAGCCAAAGGTGGTTAATTTTGGATAATGTTAAGTAGTTCCTTAAATTCAGTACAGTAATATGAGACCAAATGTGTCTACACTTATGTTTTCAATGTCAACGAATTCATCTATATCACTCAAACTAACGTACGAGACGATAATTATTAATTGTTGTGTTCATTTCAATTTTGTATTCTTTGATTTATTTTTTAATAGACACTGAAAACGTTAATCAGCACCTAAAATTGTTCAATTTTCTGTTAAAATTCAAACAAATACGGCTCGTGTGCTAAAACGTCGGAGCTTCCAGGGACTTGGGGTAGAGGATAAGGAGTGCTTAAGGTAAAGAGATTCTACTTGGCAAGTTCCTCTAGTACCAGGATATACAAACTTGTTTACACTTTAAGGGGCTAGGGTGCATTTAGCACAAATTTTAGATTGAATTTTGCATGTTTTTTTTTTTCCTTTTTTAATATTATTGGTATTCTTTTGATTTTTTACTGTTCATTTGATTAATTGACATCAACAACATCATAATCATCATCATTATCATCATCATAAGTAAACAAATACCTGAACTGATATTTTGTGCGTCTCATATCTCTTTCTGTACGAAACAGATATCATAAATCGTATTAGCATAACTTGTAGACAATGAACAATACTGTTGTCCAACGTCTGAGTCACATTGAAAATATGACGACGACGATACCATGTTGCCAAACCTCAACCGTAACTCAGGCTACGGGCCTCGGTTGATACTTCACATCAAAGGATTCGGTAATTAATCTTGCACAGGAGCCTGTCATCACCTAGCGTGCTGCCTCCTCCTCATCATCTTTATCATCATTTATAATTTTCTATAGTAAAGTAGGTTAAAACTATTAATTCTGAGTGTATTCATTCACATATAGACGTAAGAATGCAGGAAAGTGCATTTCCAAGCATCTATGAAATTTTAAAAAAATCGAAGGAGGATCCCCGACCCCATCCCCCTTCAACAACCACAAATTACGCTATTTTCTCATCACGACCCCGCCAACCCTTGGACACCATCTGTGCGATAGTCAGGGTAAACTCTGGATCCGCGCCTGAATGGACCACACTTAAGACAGTGAATAACTGTTAGCTTAGTTATGGTTACATAGGCTTGACGAATTCTTGTGTGCCTTTACACTTGCTGCATCTGCCGATTCGCTGATCGGTCACAAATATCACACCTGTAAGGTGATATAACTTGTAAATAACACGTCCAAGACATTCGAGACGGTGTGTAACTAGCTGGGAAGTGTTAGAAATTATCCCCCGTGTGCAGGGATTACTAGACAAAATGACCACGTGGTTGTGATACTGCCAAGTAAATTAATCCAGTTATTATACAATGTAGAGAGAAAATGATACACGTGTTCGGCAATTGAAATTGAAAGGTACAGTAACGCGTCACTATATAGTGATGTGCATGTTTGTGATTTCTGTGATAAATGCAATTCATGCAAAATCTGACGCACTAACTAATTGAATGTTTGATAATACTGTTTGATTTTCATTCTGTTAAGTTTGTGGTTAGACCTAGCGCTTCCCAAAAAGTTTGTAATTTCTATCCCCTTTTTAGTGAAATTTTGGGAGAGACGTTTTTATTCAATTAGCCGTGGGACATGAGTATGGAAACGCTAACTAAGAAGCAAGGCAAGGTTTATGCCCTATGAGGAACTGCTGAAAAGCCATTCATCATTCAATCTCTTCCTTATTTCCCTGTATGTTAATTTTTTATATTGTTGCTGATACTCTTGTAATTAATTTTCGCTTCTCTGATTCTCTCACATTTATAAATCCCTAAGCTCGTAACTAATAATCTGAGATGTAACGCTGTCAAGTCTTAAGGTCAAATATTTTTTTTATTAATAAATGTTGTGGTACTGTGATAATGATGATTTTCCGCATATATATATATATATATATATATATATAATATGTGTATGAGAGA